CTCTCAGCTGACAAAGGCAATGCTACTGTCATCATGGATAAAATAGAATACAACAACAAAATTAAAGAATTACTCGACGATGGTAGTTATACAAAAATAAAAAGAGATCCCACCAACAGCCTCGTCACACAAACCAACAAAATAATTTCTGATTCAACCGCATTAATTGATCAATCTAAACAGTTTTCGTTGAAACCTTCTGCTGCCAGGCCACCAAGATTATACGGCTTACCAAAAATACATAAAGTTGATACACCTCTTCGTCCCATAGTCTCTACTATCAGCTCCCCCACCTACAAACTAGCTCGTTTTTTGTCTGAAATCCTGCGTCCTTTCACTGGAAAGACCACCTCTGCGGTACAAAATTCTACTCACCTGGTATCAACAATCAAGGGTATTTCCCTGTCCCCAGACGACCTGCTTGTCAGTTTTGATGTCGTTTCCTTATTCACCAAGGTTCCTGTACCTGACACCATTGCAATCATTGAAGACTTGGTTCATCAAGGACTAAACACTGAGGTACCCCCCCTGGTGAGACACTGTTTAACCAATACATACTTAACTTGGAATGGAACTTTCTACAAACAAACTGAGGGCACCCCAATGGGCTCCCCCCTTTCTCCAGTTATAGCTAACATTTTCATGGAGAAATTTGAGACTGACGCCATCCAGACTGCCACTCTGCGCCCAACCTTATGGAAGAGGTACGTGGATGACACTTTTGTCATCTGGCCACATGGCCGGCCTGCTCTAGACCAATTCTTCGACCACATCAATTCCATACACCCAGCCATCAGATTTACCATGGAAGTCGAAATAGATGGCAAGATACCTTTTTTGGATGTCCTAATTAAAAAGAGACCTGATGGTTCAATGAGCCACTCTGTCTACAGGAAAGCTACCCATACGGATGCTTATCTGAAACCGGATTCCCACCACCATCCATCACAGAAGAATTCTCTCATCAAGACTCTGTATCATAGAGCCCAATGCATATCCGACCGGGAACACATAAGCAGTGAACTCAAGCACGTACACCAAGCTCTTAGGGCTAATGGTTACTCCGACTATACAATCCGCAAAGCTATCACTCAAACCATGAAGAAGAACCCTCTTGAGGAGCCTTTCAAAACCATCACTTTACCCTACATTGCTGGGATCACAAAAAAGATCTCCAAAATCTTGAATAAACACAAGATCCAGGTCCGTTTCAACACATTACATAAAATCTGTGATCTGGTTCCGTCTGTAAAAGATGTGATTCCGGACATACAATACCCTGGTGTCTACAAACTAAGTTGCTTCTGTGGTAGTAGTTACATTGGAGAAACCAAACGCCATGTCTCGGACCGCATTCGTGAACATAAAGCAGACCTTAAACACGGTAGGACCAACACCTCGGCCGTAGCAGATCATTGTTCTAATTCAGTAGGCTCACATGCCATTGACTTTTCCAAGACGGAGGTTTTTTGTAAGCCATCTGGCTTCCATGAGAGATTCGTTCATGAGGCTATCCACATATACAAGCACAGAGACAATTTCAACCGAGAAGATGGATTCTATCTTAGCAATCATTGGAAAGATTTGATAAATCATTTCAGTTCTTGATTGATTGTTCACGCTTACAGTGGCTTTCAGACAGCATACATTATAAAAAAAATTCGTCTCCCCCCTCCTCTTTTAAAAAAAATTGATGGACTAGTCCTGGGCAAACTGCCAATCGCTGCGCGTGACGCCAACGTTTTTTTATAAATAAATAAATGTGCCGTTTTAAAAATAAATTTACGCAAACCGACACACCTGATGATGACCGTTTGAGTTATGGTCGAAACGTCGTGAGAATTTTTTATTGTTTTATATATATTTTGTTATTTTGTTGTTTCTCTTCAACGTGACTTTACCGAAAAAACTAAGAATATGAATTACTGCAGTCACGAAAGCTTTAAATCAAAAAGTATGGATCCTTGCAGTCACGAAAGCTTCAAATCTAGAGAAGTATGGGGTTTTTTTGAATTTTGACTGCAGGTATTGTGGTTAATGCAGACATGAATCCTTGTAAAAAAAAAAGGTTTCAGTTTTGTTGCCAGAAAAAAAGGGGGAAAACCCTATTATTATCTCTGCCACGGCTCAAATCTGTCGGCTGCATTGCGGAACATTTTGTAGCATCTGTGGAGTTATTTTTTGCAACTGCATGCCCCTTTACGATCTGTAACTCTTTTTTGATATATCTCTGACTTGATAAAGTCTCATGCAAAGAAATCCAAATGCATAAAATCCGAAGATTCAGCTGTCCAGGGCCAATCCGGCGCTGAATATACACAGGTATTCCCCGATTAACGCGAGTCCGTTTGGCACGAATCCGCGTTTGCACGACTTACAAGAGTATAGGGGGCAAGACCCCGGTTAGCGTGCTCGACTTAACACGATTTTAGTGGAATTTTGCAGAATTGTCCGGAACCCAAGCGTGAAGCAACACTTGTGTCGTGGACGGCAGCGGCAGCAGCAGCAGCGAGCCACCTCGTTCTGCCTCTCACACTAGCTCGGATGTGTGCGCCTTTTTAAACTCACCATTTTATACCTCTGCTTTTGATATTCAAAATAGTGTGTTCATAATGCCCGGTAAGGGTGAAGAGCGTCGTGGTGATGCTTCCAGTTGGTAGTGAAAGTAAGGCAAGTGGTAACAGCAACAACTGGCGAACCATCCGACTCCTACTTGACATTATAAATGTTTCTATGAATGCACAAAAGTGTTAGAATTTGTTAGAAGTGTAAAAATTCGTATCAGCGAAATACACCCCTTCTGCACTCATCCAATTAACCATTCCTACGTTTTCTCTTTACATTCCACCCATCACATCTCACATGCGCATACTATTCTTTACTTTCCGTTACTTTTATCATTGTTTATTTTCTTTTTTAACATTATGCATGAAATATACATAAAAAGGCAACGATAAAAAAAGCATTAACCAAAATAGTCCCCATACATGAGTAATAATGATTAATGTGATGATCGAGTTGGGGGCTTGGAACGCCAACCCCCCTTATTTACATTACTAGAATTTCGGCGGATGGCTGCCGCCTTATTCTCGCACCTGTGGAAGGCTTCTCCGTGTCCAGCCTGTCACCGAAACTGATGTGTTTCTACAAAATACATCTTTTTTGGTGGGGGGGGTCAAACATGTTTTAGGGGGGTCGACAATTACTCATTGGTTTTTTCGGTAAAGTCACGTATGTAGAAATACAATAAAATGACGTTAAAACAAAAAAACAATAACGACGTTTCGATCACAACACAAGCGATCTTCATCAGGTGTCAAGAACAAATCACGGAGGTAAATACAACAAAAAGATGAGAGACGAGAATTCAACAAACCTGAAAAAACATTATGTGAAGCCACATCCAGTCAGGCCATCAACACAGGTAGACACTTCCTGGCGGACCACGAATTTCAGAAGTGTTAAATTTCGTGTTCAAACTTTGGATTGCACATACCAGCATAGATAGAATGAAAAATACGAGGTACACGGTAAGTAGAAATACGTATACAAGTCCACCAAGAGGTAAGGAGGGAGGAAAGACGGACAGGGAGGCAGAGAGAGGGGGGGGTGTCGGAGGGATGAATAGAAGCTTAAATAGGAAATACGGTTGGAGGGGGGGAGGGGCCAGAGCGAGAGCGGCAGCTCAAACACGCACATCTTACACATACAAAACGGCAGCTTAATTGTTGTAAATCTGTTGAATCAGCTTTTTCCCCCCACATCAGGGCGGGGGGTGGGGTCCACTTTCTATAACGTTTTGATTCAGGCCTTCTGAAAGGCTCATGATAAACGTTTTTGGGTTAGATCGCGTTATTTATAAATGTGTCGTGACCCTCCACCACCCGACACGGCCAATCAGTAAACAAAGTGTCACATTGACAAAAGACAAAATAGTTCATCACTTTAAGCCCACCAGGGTGTTGAAGAGTGAATCGACAACATTTACAATGTTTTAGTACGACGTTTTGCTGGTAATTACATCCAGCATCATCGGGCAATTTGCCAGAATAGTGAAGCCCTCCACTTGCTCCCGGTCTTAAATAGAACAGCAGGGTGACGTCATCATTTAACTCATTCAGGTGCAATGATTTGAGGCAGAGGGGGGGGTATTGTAATTATATAATAGATTAGTAATCAGTCAATTGTTATGATTAGTAATGAGTTGTAGATTAGTAATTAGTTGTAATGTGTATTACTAAAGTAGTAAACTATTTGTCTTTTGTCAACGTGACACTTTTTTTACTGATTGGCCGTGTCGGGTGTGGAGGGTTACGACACATTTATAAATAACGCGATCTAACCCAAAAACGTTTATTATGAATATTATGACGTCCTCACATATTACTTTAGCAAGGTCTTTCAGTTCCAGGCAGCTGTAACAAAAAACAAACCCACATTTGTGCAAAATTGCATTACACTAACATGTAAAGTGACATTAAATGTAGATTAAATGGAGACAGATGGCCTGAGAACAGCATCATAACAAGGTAAATAGCGACAGCTTAAACAAGGGTAAATACACATACTTCGGAACATATAAATGGAGATTAAATGAGAGAAGAGAGTAGACACGAGTAGCCATTTTAGTACAATTATTGCAGGTGAAATGGAGACGAAGATACAAGACATGAGAACAACAAACACATTCCTGCGGAGGGAGCTGGTAGGAACGTTGGGTTGCTCGGTCAATGGCCAGGGTCAACGGCGGCACGTGGTGTATTCCGCAAATATGCCCGGCTGTGAGGGCGGGCACAAGCCGGCGTGAGTAGGTTAAATATTGAGTTTTATAAGGGCACCACGGGGTGACCAGCCCCTCCCCACCCGGCCCCACCCCTCCCACCCCCCACCCAGCCCCACCCTCAGCAAACCAGCCCCTCCCCACCCTCCCCAAACCAGCCCCTCCCCACCCTCCCCACCCAGCCCATCCCCACCCACCCCTCTCCACCCATCCCCTGTGGGCTGGTGTAACCAGGAGGTTCCTACCAGTTGAATTTGAGATTGAACGAGGCTAGAGAGACTTGTTTCATAGCAATAGAAACACTGTGGAGTGGGAAAAAAAGGCAGCAACAATATGAGTACAGATGAATCTCACGTGGTGTGTGGGATTGTTCTTTATATATTCTACTCATTGTACCTGTATATACTGTACTATATCCTTATATCTGCTTATCATTTCTTTAGGATAACAAGTAAAAGGCACAAATGTCGGTGCATGAAGAACTTATGCTATGCAATGTAAAGACGTGTCGCAGTAAGGTTTCAGGTTATGCATGGGTAACATCCTGTTCACATATATTTTGTGATGAAGATGGAGCTAAAGAGTTTCGTAAATCTTTAACATGTCCAGCGTGCAATGCTGATGTTTCTGGAAATGATTATATTGTTTGCCATGAAGTTGATCCTCCTGAAGAATACAAATCCATGGTTCTCTCTGGGTTAAGACCAGATATAATACTTGAAATATGCTCACGAGCTCTGTCTTTTTGGACTTCTCAGGTTAAAAAAAAAAAAACCTTAATATTTACACGAATATTTAGATTTTTTTTATTATGTAAATTTTAAATCAAATTCATGTTTATACCTTACAGATCCATCAAGAACATTTATTTCAGGAATATGTCAACAGCAACAAATACCCAGATGTCACTTGTTGAAAAGCACTACAAACAACAGATTCAGGATATTACCATGGAGATTTCCAATTTAATACAGGAGATATCTTTTGTGAAGAAAAAACTAAAAACATATAAAGCACAATACAATGAAGCAACTGAGATGTTACTGAAGAAAAACAGGCAGCATCAGCAGCTGTATGCTATGTGTGAACAACAGCGCCTACACATTTCGACTCATGTTAACAAGCAGAAGATGGCGGTCAGTGAACTATCTGAGGAATGTATTTCATCCTTTAAACTTCCATTAGGTAGGCTATTGATCTTGTGGTATGATTCATCAGAATATATTTCTCTGCAGGTTAAGGGTGGAGAAAGGCAGAGTGATGGATCCCGAAATTGTTGCGGCATGTCTTGTGAAATGTAAGCAACAGATTGCTCGAGGAGAATTAGCGTAAGCTATTAAGGGCTGGATCCCAGATGTGTTTAGGTGACCAAGGAATTTGAGTCTAGGTTGTCAAAGACCAACAGTGGAAGATCATTGGCAAGCATGCTAGTGTGTGCCACGTATAGCCTCCATAATCTCACTGCTGAGGCCCAAGAGGTTACTGTGTGATCAGTGTGCATTCGTGATGGACTGGACTAATAAGAGTGCGTGAGAAACAAATGTTCAGACTTAATGCTTTCATGAGCAGCTAAAACTATAGGATAGTAAATACATTATCAGATCTAATTAATTTTCATACACAACAGGACTCTAAAAATCCAGCTGCAATCATCAAATTCCACAAATTTTCGGATTATGCACTTTTGCGACTCATCCAGAAATCCGTGGGATTGTTCATCCAGAAATCCGTGGGACTGTTCATCCAGAAATCCACACACATTTGCAGATTCTGGATCTCTTCCAGGAGGGACTAATACTGCCCATAATCCATATCACACCGTATCGGTGCCGTTTGTGATTTATATTGTAATTTAAAATAGATATTTTAAAAAAATGTAAGCGCTCTGCGTCGCAAAGAGGATGCCAGCTTCCTTGCAATACGAATTATATTATTTGTGATTTTTTTTTATCAGTTGAGGCTGCTAGCTTTGCAATGCAAATATTTTTTTTTACCATTGCAAGTCGTTGTTGTCCTCAAACAAAATTCTAATTATATTATGAATTTAAAGTTGTTTTGCTTTTACATTGCAAATGTGAATATGTTATGAATTATATTATTTGGTCCGGTAATGTGTTCAGAAGCTAAATGCCAGTGTCAAGGGCTACGAGCCACAAGAGGGCTTGTTTGTGTAGTTGCTATTGCTCCTTTGAAAGAGTGCAGACTACAGTAGTTTACATAGTTTGAGTTGCATGGCCACAATCGCACTGTTAATGTTCTTATGCGGTTGATGGTACATCAGTGTCTTTGATTTATATCAAAAGCAGGAGATGCAATGTTTGGGTCTCAAATTAGGTGTTTATTCTAGATGTCCGCGTTGTTCCATTCTGTTCACCCGGATTTTTCCAGATCTGGGTGAGATTCTAGAATGGGTGAAAGTATGATCCCAAAACGGAGATCGGCACTTGAATCGGCAGCAAGGTACATTGTTGAGGTCTTGGTTGATGGAGAGGTTGTCGTTGGCAGGACATTTGTCCACATTCCCTTACAGTTTGCATGTCTGTGCTGATATTTTGGTGGCAGGATATCTGTCAGACCAGGAAGCCAGGGGATTGGTGTTCGTTTCAGTGTTTCGATTATGATGCGCATCCCATTACGTAATTGTGCATCTGGCAGTTTTGTCTATGAGCTCCTGGACCAGACTCGAGCACAATACTCTGCTACTGAGTAGACAAGTGATAGGGTGGCCGTTCATAGCACCTCATCTGAGCTGCTTCAGATAATTCCTGCAAGGTTTTATATCAGGGCAATTGTTGACATGGTCTCTTCACAGATCTGCTTTATTTAGGGCTTGAAGGTTTGGCTTTTATCTGTGATATTCCATAGATATCTTGGAATGGGGTCATAGCGCACTGGGCTACTACAGACGGACACATAAAATACATTGGCTACATGATTGTTTAGATGGAAAGCGGTTGTGGTTTTGGAGGGATCTGGTCGGAGTCTCCTGCTACCGAAATATGCCTGCAATAATATATTAGCTGTTAGATTTACTGACTTTGTTCTCGAGGTTTGTGCCCTGTGCAGCAACGGCCATGTCATCTACATATATGAACTTGTGAGATGATGTACATGAGCAAGTTACTTACATATATTTTAAAATAGTGCTCGTTCTTGTACCAATCCTTGAGAGAGGTCAAAGCTTTCAGAGCTGCAAAGAGGTAGGTCAAAAGCATTGCATTTACAATGTTTATGCATTAGCACAGACTAGCTGTCCTCACATTTGTGTGGTAGAATACAATTTAGATTTTTTTTTTAGACTTGATATGCAGCTGCAGCAGTGGGTGAGGCTAATGTGGAGCTGCAGGAATTGAACTTCAAGGGTTTGCTGTTTAGTTTTTCTTTGTGCATTTGTACAGACTAGCTGTTTGTCGGCACAGACTGGCTGTGCTGACGTGAATGTTTATTATAAAGAGCTAAACAAATAATTTAGCGTTGACCCATATTACAGATTCGTTCTATTTGGATCTAAGTAAAACTCGTAACCTTGTAATCCTTTGCAGATTGATTTAGTCACATGTCCCACTTTCCCTTTCATCCACAAATTTTGTTGCATGTTAATTGTCGCATGGCTAATTCATCTCAATTCGTGGCAAATCGCATTGGCACAAACACACGGATTACAGGACAAACCTCCATGGTGCGTCACGGGTTACGGGATTCGTGATATGGTCCCCCCCATGTGTGGATTATTGGAGTTCTGACCTAATATTAATCATTCGCTCTGATACATTTGAGTATATTTTTTTATAATCTGTATATAAAAGGGAAATTTGTGAATGTGTGTCTGTTCAAACTGTTTAGCGTACTTCCCGACATGCAACAAACTTGAAATTTGCCATGTGGGTACTTTCCAGACTGTACACCATGCAAAAATTATAAAAATACACTTTAATTCATATAGTTTTTGCACGCCAAGTGAGCTGTGACGTCAAATCTGTCATGTGACCCGCGCATGTGGAAGCGTAACGCATTGTAGTGTAGCGGTTAGCGCGCTGTGCTACGAACCCGGCCACCCGAGTTCGATTCCCGCTTACGGCCACGACAGGTGACGATTTTTTTTACCGGTCCTGGGCCTCCCCTAGGTCGACTCAGCATCAAACGAGTAACTGGTGTGGTGTGTGAACATCGCCACTGGGGAGACAAAGGCGGCCGGGCGTGGTGCTGGCAACTCACCCCCTCGTGTGCCGTGCCGGCCTTCATAGGTGCTCGCTAACAGCACTTGCCCCCGACAGTCTCACAGGCTACACGGGGGAACTTTGTCTTTATCCTGTCTGTGTGTGTGTGGGAGGGGGGCAGCTACTGCGCAGCGATTCGCGCGCTGCGCTACGAACCCGGCCACCCGAGTTCGATTCCCGCTCACGGCCACCACCGGTGACGATTATTTGAGCCGGTTCTGGGCCTCCCCTAGGTCGACTCAGCCTCAAACGCGTAACTGGTGTGAACATCGCCATTGGGGAGACAAAGGCGGCCGGGCGTGGTGAATCCAAGTCCCGGGCAAAGCCGGGTAGTAAAGCTAGTATATATAAAAGGAAAATTTGTGAATATGTGTGTCTTCGAAATGTTTAGTAATGTTTAAAAAATTTAAAAAACGCCACATTTTAAAATTTTCTTGCTGTGCTGTGGTTTTCACACCACAGCAAGATTGCTTGTGTTGCAGTCGAAACGTCGTGAGAATTGTATTGTTTTATATTTTTATTATTTTATTGTTTCCCTTCTATGTGGTGACTTTACCGAAAGAACCAAGAATATGAATCCCTGCAGTCACGAAAGCTTTCAATCAAAATTCAAGTGTTATCAGTTTGGTAAATGTTTTTGGAACACGTCGGTGATGTTTCTTGTAAACATTTCCTGCACTTTAAAAAAGTACAAATGAAGTTAAATACTATGAAAACTACAATACAGTGAAACTCCTCGGATATACATGGAGCCAGGGGCACGAATTTACATAAGCACAATTGTGGATGAAAGGAATGGAATCCTATTAGTGAAAATAACCTATCTGCAAAAATAATGTCTAACAATAAATAATAGCATAAATGTTTCTCTTATCTATGAAAATGTATAATAGGAAGATGTAACTGTCCATGTTATCCACAGTTCTTAAAGCCACATGTAACATAAACATGTCGGTGCTTCTCCAGCATTTTTTTGCAATTGCAAAGTTTTTTTAAAAAAATGTTTAAATCTACCAGGAAAGTTTTCCAAAAGCATTTACCGTACAATAGCGACATCACACATTCTGCACGCGACGATCCTGAGGTATGCACATGTTTACACGCAGGAAGTCGAATGGCAACCAGAAACTAACTCCATAATCGTTCAAATGTTTTCCAGAGTGTTTTTTTAGGTTAGATCACGTAAATATATAAATGTGTCGTTAAAACCCGCCACCACCCGACACAGCCAAATAGTAAGGGTTGTCACGTAAACAGAACGTGGCCAATTCGTCACTAGTTGGAGAGTCAAGCCACAACATTTACAATCTGAGTACGACGTTTCGCCAGTATTTACAACTAGATTCATCAGGCGACAGAGACAGATTTGTGTAGAAATCCTCCTGTTTCGTTCCTCGAATGGAGGGATAGTTTTTATGACGTCAAATGTGAGCCCTTCACGTGCGAAAGTGGGGATTACCCAATGCATATACATTACAATGGGTATCCATTGCTGGTTGAGTTATTCATGATAATCTTGATTTGAAGCTTTCGTGACTGCAGGAATCCATAATCTTTGATTCTTTCGGTAAAATCACGTAGGCATAAATAAATCACATTTCGGGCGCTCTAAACGTCGTGATTTATTTTATTTTATACTTACGTGACTTTACCGAAAGAACCAAAGAGTATTATTCATGATAGTCAACATACAATGTGTGTGCACTTTATGCATGCACATTGTTCCTCCTACCTCCTGTCGTTTGCATGCTATAAAATAGCGGTACCTTTTATTGTCTGCGTACACGTAATCCCATTGATGTATGGTGACCTGTACCAGCATGCATTTAAATGTACTATTTGATGATTCACTTTCAAGCAGCACTAAGCCTGTAGCTATCCGAACGGTTAAAATTATTTGCTATTTCTCTGAATTTCGATAGATTCTCAATTTCGATATATTTGGCATGGTACATAAAATACAAAAACGAATATCTAGCACTAAAGATGTATTACCGAAGCTATCAATGGAAGATGTTTACCGGATGAATTGCACTTGTGGCAAATGATCAGCACGCGGATAAAAGAACACCAAATAAATATGAAATACTCCCAAATACAACTATCGGCAGTGGCAGAACACGTGTGCCAACAAGGACACTCAATTGATTTAGATAACGTTGAAGTTCTGTGCAATACTAGTTACTACTGCTGTTTTTTCCTGGATTTTGTTGTTGCGCGTAGTCACTTTAAGATGTTCTTTGTTCATGTTTTTTGTTGTTGCGGTTGCACCCGAGTCAAGAGCCGCATGGCTCACAGCGCTATACCTCATAAATGAAACTGAAACTAGCCAAGACTAATGAGAGAATCTATCGAAATTTAGATCTATAAAAATAATGTTAACCATTTGGATAGCTACAGACTTAGTCCTGCTTGGAAGCGAATAATAATTTTAATACATAATTAAAATTCATTCCGATACAAGTACAAAAACAAAGTCCATGCATAATGTGCATGCATAAATGCACGCTGATTACCATATTCATAACCAAACCGGCAATGGATACCCATTATAATTTATATACATTAATTAATCCCCCCTCGCACGTGCAGGGCTTACAAGTGACATCATAACATCTATCCCTCTATCTAAGGAACGAAACAGGAGGCTTTCTCCAAAAGTCTGGCTGTCGTCTGATGAAGCTAGTTGTAATTACTGGTGAAACGTCATACTCAGATTGTAAATGTTGTGGATTTCCTCTCCAACACACCGGTGTGCTGTACGAGTAACGAATTGCCATTTTCTGTTCACGTGACAAACCTTACTAATTAGCTGTGTTGGGTGGTAGCGGCTTTAACGACACATTTTGATTTACGCGATCTAACCCAAAAAAACCTATATTATGGATGAATCCTATATGAATACAATTTTTACGTAAAATGTGTTGCTATTAGGGACTTACCCTAGTGAAAACCGGCCAAATTGATCAAAGGGTTGCTCAAGCTTGTCAAAACATTGCGAAATTGATTTCCAATAAAGGTGATGAAATAATTATGTATGCCATACATGATGCTGCCTTTAAGCGCGTCGTCATATCAAGAGCACATGCCACGTGCGCCTTGCCTATCCCTGACGTCATTACATGTGACATATCATTGTGTGGCTTGAAACACAATCTCATTCCTGCAAATTAAATACTTGTGAGGACAAAAACATTACAGGATCCTTGCATGTACAACATTTTTATTGTTTTACATGCTCGTATACTCTTACATACTGTAAATAGTAGTTTAATTACTGGTTACATGATATAATACACAATTTTCAGGCAACCAAATATGTTTTTACACGTGTTTTGTGAATATTGCAGAGACAACAGATGACACTCTGAGGAAAAGACACGTTGTATCCCACCCTTGTCGGGAGAGGCGACCAATTTTAAATACTGCTGATCACAGAATGCAAGAATCATCTATATGTCATTTTCCCCTTGCTGATCCATTACAACCAGAGAAACCTTATGGTTCTAGAATATTACAGTGAGGGAAAAAAGTATTTGATCCCCTGCTGATTTTTTACGTTTGCCCACTGACGAATAAATGATCAGTCTATAATTTTAATGGTAGGTTTATTTGAACAGTGAGAGACAGAATAACAAAATCCAGAAAAACGCATGTCAAAAATGTTATAAATCGATTTGCATTTAATGAGTGAAATAAGTATTTGACCCCTCTGAAAAACATGACTTAGTACTCCAAGTCATTAAGGTTTCGAGGGTGACGTTTGGCAACTCGAACCTTCAGCTCCCTCCACAGATTTGCTATGGGATTAAGGTCTGGAGACTGGCTAGGCCACTCCAGGACCGTAATGTGCTTCTTCTTGAGCCACTCCTTTGTTGCCTTGGCCGTGTGTTTTGGGTCATTGTCATGCTGGAATACCCATCCACGACCCATTTCCAGTGCCTTGGCTGAGGGAAGGAGGTTCTCACCCAAGAATTGGCGGTACATGGCCCCGTCCATCGTCCCTTTGATGCGGTGAAGTTGTCCTGTCCCCTTAGCAGAAAAACACCCCCAAAGCATAATGTTTCCACCTCCATGTTTGACGGTGGGGATGGTGTTCTTGGGGTCATAGGCAGCATTCCTCGTCTTCCAAACACGGCGAGTTGAGTTGATGCCAAAGAGCTCCATTTTGGTTTCATCTTACCACAACACGTTCACCCAGTTGTCCTCTGAATCATTCAGATGTTCATTGGCAAACTTCAGACGGGCATGTATATGTGCTTTCTTGAGCAGGGGGACCTTGCGGGCGCTGCAGGATTTCAGTCCTTCACGGCGTAGTGTGTTACCAATTGTTTTCTTGGTGACTATGGTTCCAGCTGCCTTGAGATCATTGACAAGATCCTCCTGTGTAGTTCTGGGCTGATTTCTCACCGTTCTCATGATCATTGCAACTCCACGAGGTGAGATCTTGCATGGAGCCCCAGGCCGAGGGAGATTGACAGTTCTTTTGTGTTTCTTCCATTTGCGAATAATCGCACCAACTGTTGTCACCTTCTCACCAAGCTGCTTGGCAATGGTTTTGTAGCCCATTCCAGCCTTGTGTAGGTCTACAATCTTGTCCCTGACATCCTTGGAGAGCTCTTTGGTCTTGGCCATGGTGGAGAGTTTGGAATCTGATTCATTTCTTCTGTGGACAGGTGTCTTTTGTACAGGTAACAAGCTGAGATTAGGAGTACTCCCTTTAAGAGTGTGCTCCTAATCTCAGCTCGTTACCTGTATAAAAGACACCTGGGAGCCAAACATCTTTCTGATTGAGAGGGGGTCAAAAACTTATTTCCCTCATTAAAATGCCAATAAATTTATAACATTTTTGTTGTTATTCTGTCTCTCACTGTTCAAATAAACCTACCATTAAAATGATATACTTATAATTTCTTTGTCAGTGGGCAAACGTACAAAATCAGCAGGGGATCAAATACTTTTTTTCCCTCACTGTATATGAATTCTCAATATTTCAACAAAATACAAATACATGTCGTTATACTAACAATACAACGATTGCACATGTAATGTACATGCATGTTATTTATATTCCTGTGGAATGAACCTGGAAAAGCCAAGTTTGCATCACTATATTTATCATTGTTTTGGTAGTAAAGTTCAACTTTATATTTATAGTCTCAGTTTCCCGCAAGCTAGATGAATTAATATTATTGGTTCTTTCGGTAAAGTCACGTAGAAGGAAAACAATAAAATAATAAAAATAAAACAAACAAAAAATTATCACGACGTTTCGATTGCAGCACAAGCAATCATCATCAGGTGTGAAAACCACAGCAAGACATTTTTGAAAGACCGCCACTTTTAGGAAGAGTGGCACTGCAGCCGGAATACGGTGGGCAAAGCTTCCCAAACGTTCCTAATAGTCACGTGTTTACAAATGATGCTGTAAAAGGAAATCACTTACCTCAGTATCCCAGCTCCGAGTCGGTGGTTAGTGAACTCGTTTCTCTGCTGCTGTCTCGTCCGAAATTTTGCCTTCTCGTCTGCAATTTTCTCGTCTGCAATTTCCCTCTATCGTCTGAAAGTTTGCCCTCTCGTCCGTGATATCGCCTTGTCTGACATTTCGCCCCCTCTGAAATGCTGCCCTGTCGTGTAAAGTTTCAACCTCTCATACAAAATATCGCCCTCTCGTCCAAAATTTTTACCTCTAGCCCCAAAATGTTTGACCTCTCATCCAAAATATCACCCCGTCCGATATTTCGCCTTCTCCGAAATTTCACTCTCTTATCTAAATTTCCCTCTTTTGCCCGGAATTTGTATCGCATCCAAAATGTCCCCCTCTGAAATGTCGCCCTGTCGTCCAAATGTAACCCTCTCGTCGAAATTTCACCCTTGTCTAAATAGTCGCAATTTCGCTCTCTTCATCATCATCAACAGCACCAAAAACATCATCCCCAGCAGCATCAACACCATCAGCAGCAGCAACATCATCATCTACAGCAGCATCATCACCAGCATCAAGACCATCATCAGCAGCATCAACAGCAGGCCACCCTCCATCTCTGACCCTGCATGGGAACCGTGCGGGGGCCAGCGGCCTAATGCCACCTTCAAGCAGCCTCCTGCGCCCCTCCATGGAGGCTGCACGGGTACCGTCGAACTCCTACGACCTTCCAGTGGCCTTTTGCGGCTCTCCAGGAGGGCCCTGCATGCTCCAGCAAACACCTGCAGCCCTTCAGGGGGGGGCACCCGGGCATCAGCGGCCTCCTGCACCCCTCCAGGGGGCTGCTCAGGCCCCAGCGGATGCCTCTGGCTATCGGGGCGTCCGTGCATGCCTCAGGGGCCTCCTGCTGCCCTCCGATGGGGCCGCGCGGGACCCAACACCCTCTTGCAGCTCTCAAGAGAGCCCTAAGCAGCCTTCCAGGGAGACTGTGCGGGCCTAATCGGGACCCCTGGGACCCTGCAGCAGCCTCTTGCATCTTCGAGTGGGGTCGCACTGGCCAGTGGTCTCCTGTGGCCCTCTTTTGGGGCCGCGTGGGCCCCAGCGGCCTACTGCATTCTTCCCTCTAGCGGCCTCCTGTGGCTATCCACAGGGGGCAGACGGGCCCCAGCGGCCTCTTACAACCCTTCAATAGCCTACTGAGGCTCTCCAGGGGAGCCGTGCGGGCTCCAGCACCCTCCCGCAGCCCTCCACGGGGACTGACCGGGCCCCAGCAACCTCCTCTGGCCTTCCAGGGGGGTTGCGTGTGCCTCAGCGGCCTCCTCCAGGGGTGCCCCAGCAGCCCTAGCAGCCCTCTAGCGGCCTCCTGTGGCCCTCAGGCGGCTTCCTGCGGCTTTCCAGGTGGGCAGTGCGGGCCACAATGGACTACTCCACCAATCCGGTGGGGGAGCGCGGTCCCCAGTGGCCTTATGCCGCCTTCCAGTGGCCTTCTGCAGCTACCTAGGGTGACCGTGTGGGCCCGAATGGCCTCCTGTGGCCCTCCGGTGGGACCACGCGGGCCCCAGCAGCCTCCTGCAGCCCTCCAGGAGGGCCACGTGGTCACATGCAGCCTACTGCGGCCCCACCAGCGCGGCTGCGTGGGCATCGTACCAAAGCCTGGACCAAGGTTTCTCAACTTCGAATTGGTCTACGCATGCTCCATAGTCAATAAGACAGCGCTGATGGAAGTATCTGATCAACGATTGTGGACTAAACATTTGCCGGTACCAAAACCTGGGTATATGATGACTCACTGGACGTTGGACATAAAGCAAAGCATGGGGCTGCACCGAATGGATATGCTATCTTACATCAGCACCATCGCAGGAAACCTGGCACCGATAGCTTGCATGGTGGTGGGATCGCAATGATTCACTGTGAAGACATCTGCGTGAAGGTCCTGAGCGACTAATTAACAATCACGCCATTCGAGCTACTGCTTGTGAAAATAACAGCATACGGAGGCTTACGATCGCTGTCATCTATCGACCGCCGTCTTAACTGCTGTCAGAATTATTTTACGGGATTTCTGGCTCTCGCTACATCATCTATGATGACCTGAACTGTCCCGGACCAACTTGTTCTTGTGGTAAAATCAACAGTCACAATTTAACCCAGCACGTCAGTGGCACAACATGTCGCTCAGGAAATATACTGGATCGCATTCTCACATTTGCCAATGCCGTAACAGGTGAGCAACATTATCGAAGACTTAGGTATTTCAGATCACAGTCTCGTGACGTCCAAAGTGGCATTACCAATTATTTGCCCGTCCGTCACAACGATATCATACAGAGACCGGAAACGACTCGACCATGATGCTTTCCGTCAGATGATCCAGTCATCATCGGCGTGTCTAAATCCTGCATCGACAGTCGATTAATTTGCAGCCTAATTAGAAAATGACATGCCTGATGTTCTTCATGAACTCGTGCCCATCCGAACAAGCACAAAGGTAATGGGGAAAGCGGCGCGCTGCACCTGGCTGTTATGGAGGTAATCGCTGCGAAGAAGATGCACAGAAGGCTGAAGGGTTTTTGGAAGAAAACTCGTTTCGAGACTATCCGACTCGCTTCCAGAGCCGCCTACAGATCGTCAACCGACTGACTCATTATTGACTCTCACAGATCAATCTATGCTCTGCGCGTCAATGAGTCGGCTCGCGACAACCCGTGCTCTGTGGCTAGTCGCGAAGGGCCTGCTACACTCTGACCACCCATCAAACTAGTCAACCTGGCCTCTGTGCACAGTACTTGTGACATTCGCCAATAAAAAAATATTAACAATCAAGACAGCAGTTTCTAACCAATGTAACGCTCTAGATCCTGACAACAGCGTCGGTGGCAGAGGTGTCGATGTTCATTATACAGCTGCGTCAATTTTCAAATATTGCTTGGACGTGCTTGCACCGCTGATTGTCCACCTGGCAAATATTTTGTTCAGTGACGGCTGTTTTTCAGTAGTGATGAGGGCTCTGCTGTGGAAGCACCATTTTGCTAAAAATTGTAACAAGAAAAAAACCTGCCATTTTTCCGATGATATAAGGTGTGTATATATACAGTGAGGGAAAAAAGTATTTGATCTCCTACTGATTTTGTACGTTTGCCCACTGACAAAAGAAATGATCAGTCTATAATGTTATTGGTAGGTTTATTTGAACAGTGAGAGACAGAATAACAACAAAATCCAGAAAAACGCATGCCAAAAATGTTATAAATTGATTTGCATTTTAATGAGGGAAATAAGTATTTGACCCCTCTGCAAAACATGACTTAGTACTTGGTGGCAAAACCCTTGTTGGCAATCACAGAGGTCAGACGTTTCTTGTAGTTGGCCACCAGGTTTGCACACATCTCAGGAGGAATTTTGTCCCACTCCTCTTTGCAGATCTTCTCCAAGTCATTAAGGTTTCGAGCCTGACGTTTGGCAACACGAACCTTCAGCTTCCCTCCACAGATTTTCTATGGGATTAAGGTCTGGAGACTGGCTAGGCCACTCCAGGACCTTAATGTGCTTCTTCTTGAGCCACTCCTTTGTTGCCTTGGCCGTGTGCTTTGGGTCATTGTCATGCTGGAATACCCATCCACGAGCCATTTTATTACATGTGCAATACAACGATTGCACATGTAATGTACATGCATGTTATTTATATTCCTGTGTGATGAACTTCGAAAAGCCAAGTTTGCATCACTATATTTATAATTGTTTTGGTAGTAAAGTTCAACTTTATATTTATAGTGTCAGTTTCCCGCAAACTAGATGAATTAATATTCAAGCTGAGATTAGGAGCACTCCCTTGAAGAGTGTGCTCCAAATCTCAGCTCGTTACCTGTATAAAAAGACACCTGGGAGCCAGAAATCTTTCTGATTGAGAGGGGGTCAAATACTTATTTCCTTCATTAAAATGCAAATCAATTTATAAAATTTTTGACATGCGTTTTTCTGGATTTTTTTGTTGTTATTCTATCTCTCACTGTTCAAATAAACCTACCATTAAAATTATATACTGATCATTTCTTTGTCAGTGGGCAAACGTACAAATCAGCAGGGGATCAAATATTTTTTTCCCTCACTGTATATGTACCCGCATCAATTACAAATTGCTATTAACAATGACAATGTTTTCTTCGTTTCTGAGGAATATTTTTATTACAATTACACAATACATAATTGCATGCAATTACAGGATACAAACCTGCTCTATTCTATTGATTGGAATTTCAATTAGACTTAGAAATAACTTTAAAAGAAATAGCACACATTTTCTATGGCTATCTTTCTTCTCGTAACTCACCTCATGTTTGTGTCCTGCAACTTTGTACCATGTCAGTATCATGTTAGAATTAGTTTATTATCTGAGTACCTTATCTTAAAATCCCCACATATCCCCTTAAAATAACTTTTTATATCCAGAATATTTCATGGAAGATTTATTGCTGGCTGTTTGCTTTGTGGCTATCTTGGGAAATTTATTTCGAATTGCAACATTCAGGATTATATTTCTATTTAAATCTTTCGTGACTGCAGGGATTCATATTCTTGGTTCTTTCGGTAAAGTCACGTAGAAGGGAAATAATAAAATAATAAAAATAAACATAATAAAATTCTCACAGTGAGAATTCCATTGGAACGATATCTGATTAATCATCACCAACATTGGATTTTGAATCAAAAGTCTAATCTGAATTACGGACAACATTTATTTGATCAATTGTATTTTTTTTTGTCAGGCTGCAAAGGGATTATAATAACATTGGCAGGACTAATTTCACTTTTAAAATCACAGTTTAAGTTAGAGGGTGGAGAAACATCATTCAGTGGTTTTGAAGGGGTTTCTTCATTGCTTGTGTGTGTCACTGGGGCATTGCTGCTTTCGGAAGAACAACTTTTTTCTTCATCTGGGGTGACTCCAACACCAGCTTCTGCGTTTGATGAACAATCACTAATTTCATGTTTCTGAAAATGCAATCATGCAACATATTAAAACACGTTCTCAATTCCGAATAATAAACGAAGACATGTATGTCGAACTTTTTTCGCACCATACATAGCCAACTGCGCTAATACAAAATATGCTAAGGTTCATCGTCTGTAAATTTCAATCCAATCCTGGTTGGAGCCCTCTTCAAGCCACTGCCACCTCTAACGTTCTTGTGATGCAGCTATACACCCAGCGCCTGTATGCAAAATGATTTAATCGCTCCATCTCCTTGGTGGAGGTCCTTTTTAGATAGGTTCCATTCCTTGGCTGCCACTCCATTATTATTCTTACCCATTATTCAGAATGCTTATAAATGTGAAGCCATCCTGATCGAGATGAGGCAGTCTCGCCATGTTCATATTAATCCACGATTCATTTCTCAAACTGCATCAGTGTTTTGGCTTTACTCTTGATTCCACAGTATCCTTCAATACGCACACGAATAACATTTCAGTCTTGGAGCTACCACCTCAGGGCCCTCTGTCATTTACTCATCACCACCGAAATCATCAATACCTGCAGGATAATCGGGTTTCGCCTCGACTATTGCAACTCATTCTTACTCGACCTTCAAGAAAACCTCAAGTAACGACATCAGTTGAAAAACCATATCACTCGTGTCATCCTCGGTGCCTGTCACTCTTGGCTAGCGTCTGTCACCAACCTCCACTACCTCCACTGGCTTCCCATCGCTAGCAGGGTTGGCTACAAAATATCCTGCCGCCTTTACCACCCCCCCACCTCTAATTTCGGTCGCTCCTGTCATCCTGCACTACTGTTCACAGTAAAACACTCTCTCCGAAGCGTGACTCACAACCTCTCCATATCAAGGACCATGACTGTTACTTCCGGGTGTGATTTCTGCATGGCAGTTGCAGCCATCTGGGACGCTATTCAGATGCACATTGGCAGCACAATTAAATATATACCGACTTTTATGAGACGTAAATGCTCCACCCTCTTTCGTCTGGCTTTTTGAGCGACACTGAGCTTTGGCTTTGCGCCTCAGTCACAGTAATTTATGTCTGTGAAATATTGTGTGCGTTGAAAAACATTATTATATAAATCAACGGCATAGGTTTCTATAAAATAGAATGCAAGTTTTTTTTTTTTACAAAAGACAGCTGGAAAAACATTTAGTTTACTTATATCATTTAACATTTAAATTACGGGGTGCTCCATTTGATCACTAATAAAACAATTTGCAAATGAAATCTGCAGTAATCAAATAATTTGCAATAAAATATGGTCTTACTTTAGCTTCATTCCATTCTACAAACGTTATTAAACGTCCATTGCTGTTTTGTGTTGGTTTCAGACTCTTTCCAGCTTTCAGTTCTTCTATAAGTTCAAAATTTAAGCTACTTGAAGCTTTGAGGTTGTTTTTTTTAACGCCTGAAAAACAAATTTACAAGCAATGTGTGCACACGTCTTCCAAATAATGAGAATTTGCATCATGATATTTAGAATGATCATGTTTCTTATACAATACTATATTTTTAAACCATAAACCTATGACCAATCCAGACAAATGTTATCCAGCAAAAATCTATAATCGGTAAACTCTGGACCAGTTTGTACCCTTCTGGGTCTCATTAGCAGGGTTAAAGGTGAGAGGACCACAGCAAGTAATAATATATACAACACATGAACTTTCGTGGAGCATCATGGTTTTGATTAAACAGACTTAAATGCATCTGACCATGTATTTTTAGGCTATAAAAGCCCAAAAGAATAATGCACATTTTGGGAAATATGAATTCATATAAATTATTAATGTAAGTCCAATCGCATGGCTACACATGACTATTCTCCTCTTATTCTTGGTTCTTTCGGTAAAGTCACGTAGAAGGGAAATAATACAATAAAAAATACAAACAATTATCACGACGTTTCTATTGCAACACAAGCAATCATCATCAGATGTGAAAAACCACAGCAAGACAATTTCTAATTTTCTAAAAAAAACCACAGCAAGACAATTTCTAATTTTCTTGCTGTGGTAATTTCACACCCAATGATGATTGCTTGTGTTGCAATCGAAACGTCGTGAGAATTCTCTTTTTTAAATTTCCCTTCTACGTGACTTTACCGAAAGATTCTAGATTTGAAGCTTTCGTGACTGCAAGGATTCATACTCTTTGGTTTTTTTCGGTAAAGTCACGTAGGTAAAATAAAATAAAACAACTAAATTAAATCACGACATTTCGGAGGCAACACAAGCTTCCGTCTTCAGGTGGAACAGTCACAGCAGAATAGCTGTGCCAAGTGGGGAGCTCTTGAGACGACCGGGATTATATATACAGGTTAAGAGGGGGGGGGAGGAGCCAAAAAGGGACGTGGGTGGGGGGGGGAGGGCTGAGTTAAGCCTCCTTTTGTTAAACTGCAGGGGGGTGTTTGGGGGGAGGGGTGGTGCACTGCACGAAAGCAATTACAACCCCATTTTTGTTAGAAAGCAATGGAAATGGCTGTACAATTATAAGGCAGCTAAAGTTTGACGTACAACCCACTGAAAGTAATGTAAATGGCTGTACAATTATTTCCCGAAAGAACCAAGAATATGAATCCCTGCAGTCACGAAAGCTTTAAATCGAAATGTATTCCCCTCTTACCTGAATACCGAACATTCCAAAGTGACTGCTTTCTGTTAACAATTAAATATTAAAATGTTTCGAGGTACTCATGAACAATTGTATACAGTATATGTTCCATTAGTTTCATCGTGGGTAATGTTAGTGTAGATATTCGATTAAATAAAAAAAAATCATAGGAAGTGCGGCGCATATGTACAGCAATACGATACAGGTCGCAATTTAAAACAAATGTATGCCAGCGCAATACAGTACTGAGAGAAAACGATAGGAGAAGCACAACTCTTTCTATGGGATTATATTTGTATTTTGGGGGAAAATTGTTAAGTTTCCGCGATACGAAAAAATTCGGGTTACAGATTGTTCTTGGGAGCGTAACCCTTCCGTAAGCCAGGGACTGCCTGTACGTATGTTTGTTCAGCTAATTTCGCACTGCTAATCAGACGTGTGGGGGGGGGGGGAGAGACAAAGAGTTGAAATCGTTTAGCAGATTGTATAAGATGGCAATGCAGATTGAAGGCATGTCAGGCCGGATATGGTTGTAGTACATGTTGTAAGAGAAAAAAGATCGTAAGTCAAAGTATCTTCTTCTTTGGTTCTTTCGGTAAAGTCATGTAGAATGAGAATAAAATAATAAATTGAAAAAATAAAATAAGCGGCCTTCATCAGGTGAAGAGACGAGACTGTCTGTCCTACCAGACAGTCTCTTCCCTTCTCATTCTACGTGACTTTACCGAAAGAACCAAAGAAGATGAATCCTTGCAGTCACGAAAGCTTTAAATCGAAAGTCAAAGTATATTTGGATTTTGTAGTGGAATTACAACTCTGACTCCTTGAAGAGCTGTTGGTAGGTAATACATCATCAATCCCACCCTACCGACTAGGACCTCAAAAAGCCTTCATATTGCTAAGTTGTCGGCTATATGGTAAGTCCTTACTTAATGCATGGTGTTCACACAATGCGTTTTCGTTATAATGCTGTTACATTATTTAGGGGCCGTCCATAAAATACGACGTCACGCGATTTTGGACGATTTTTGACCCCCCCCCCCCAGTCACACGGCGTCACAAAGAGTCAGAGCCCCCCTCAAATATGACGTTACAAAGCTCTGCCCCCCCCCCAAAAAAAAATAAAACATGCTTCAAATCGCTTTAAACTATTGTCATTGTAGTGCGTATTTAATGTGGCGCTGCACTCTGATGTTGTAGGAGAAAACATTTATTAAAAAGTGTATTTAATTAAGTAGAACGTGTTGTCTATATTTATTTAAAGTTGCGCATTTTGATGTGACGTCACATTTCTCAAACCCCCCCCCCCTCGTCAGACATCGTCACAAATGTCTGGACCCCCCCCCCCCAGGTGCGTGACGTCATTTATGGACGGCCCCTTATAGGGAAATAGTTTTCGCTTAATGCATGTTTTGCTTCACGTGGAACTTTTCAGGAATGCATCTACCGCATTAAATAAGGACTTGCTGTATTCCTTCATCATTAATTCACCGAACAGTGATGTGAAATCTGGTGTGTGACTTTGTGCGTTACTCTGCTTTGTGGAGCATAGATATACTTATATGTAGAGCAACGCCAGACACTCACCCGACTTGCACGGCAGCGTTTTATAGAGGCTGGCACCATCATATCTATTTATCTGTGGATGAGATGGTGGAGGCGGTGCCTGTGGTGGTACATATGAATGTTCCTCTGCTGTAATGCTGATGACATCAAAGTCTCTTTCTCCCTCCTATATATATTAAAAAAAAGAGTTGTACCAATCATATTAAGTTGGCGTAAGAGAATACATCCAGATGTGAGACCTTAATCATCCATAGGTTATAAAGTGATGGGTGAACAAAAAAACATTTATGCTCATGGAATTGGCTTGCGCGTGGTGGTTTATGCGGCAGAATGTGCACAATGTCACTTACACTTTCAGGCTCTGGAATGTCAATGCTTGACTCCACGTCAGTATCTGCTGCCACTAGCAGATCGGAGAGCTTTGGAAGCTCGGCAGCTTCATAGTCGTCCATTTCACTTCCTGGAATGTCATCTCCCTCGGTCAGTTTAAACGTCACTCTCCGGCCTGGTTTCCGATTTGTTGCACCCTGTTCACATGACTAACAAAAGTTAAGACGTTAAACGTGGAGCAGGGTGTTGTTGCGTAATGCTTTATACACTGGAATTAAAAAAGTGCTGCAACGCTTTTTATCAGTACATTTTTTTACCAATACATCACAAATGGTATCGATGTGCGGCCCACACATTACAATGCAACAGTTTTATAATATGAAAATATATATTCGTATAAAATATATAAAGTAATTTACGTGAGGTAATCATTTGCCGGGACTGACTCATTCAAATTGTGTCAACCACCCTGGGCCTGTGTTCATAATAATAGTAACCAGTTTACATTTTGATTTAAAGCTTTCGTGACTGCAGGGATTAATATTCTTGGTTCTTTCAGTAAAGTCACGTAGAAAGGAAATAATACAATATAATAAAATAAAATATGGAAGGAAGATGGAGCATCCGGAAATAAAAAAAATATTCGAGAGGGAAACACGATATCATGAAGTTGGGATCGATGATATAGTCCACACTTTACTGTATAATTTTCTCTCGGCGAGCCAGGGTTTCCACCTCGACGTCCACAGGAAGGGAGTTTCACAACAATCCACCAACTCTCGGCTTTACAGTGCTGGATTACAAGCATGCATCGTCATCGTCTAATGATGACATTAACATATTCAGTGGCAGTGTAAAATGGACTGCTGATTCCTGTGTTCATGGCAGCTGGACACCCCCTCTCAGTGTTAAGTGGCCTTGAGTGACAGAAACTGTTATTTTCAGGTGATGCGGAGGCATGGGGCCTTGCCCATAGGCATAATTCGTGCTCTGTGGCTTAATTTCAATGTTAGCTTTGTTTATTACCTTTTTAGAATTGAAGTGAAGCTAAAAAGGGTCTCCATGACCATTGTTAATGCCCCCTTTTTGTCTCCACTAGATCCCTTCAATATCTGCTCTTACAGCATCCCCCTCCTTGGTCACCAACTTATGTATGCTTATTGTGGTGTCCGTCTTAGTGACTTCCTCCATCCCACGCATGTCTCACCCAACGCATTTTATTTCCATGTTTCTAGTATGACCTTCTAGGCTGCTACCATATCCTGCCATGGAAATTCATAGCATCACCTTCATGTACCTGCAGTCCATAGCAAGATGTTTTATATACGTTTGTTAAAATTCAGCTCTCAGATCCGTACAAGAACAAGGACATTACCTCTTCCTCAAACACGGATATTTTGACACCAAAGTTAACACCTGCATTCTCCAAAAATAGTGTCCGTAGCCCATTAAATTACCCACCCTGAGTAATATGTACGTGTAAGAACATCCCTCGTCATTGCTTGAAGTGACGCAAGCCATTTTGGACCCATGCGCTTAACCTTAATGCGAATTTCAACCCCAATAAAGCCTGGAGAATGCTGAATGGAGTTCTAAAGAACTCACAAACAAACACCTTGTGGTCCACCCTAAACCGCATCTATTCAAGCCATGGCAGATCCGGATACCTGATGCACAAATGTAAAACTCTCCAGTGTGCAACTGTGGTCATCCAGAACACACCATACAACATATAATGACGCGCTGCCCAATCCACAAATACAAAGGAGCCATCACAGCATTAGACACCGCTGCTCCTGACGCGGTTATCTGGCTTGACTACCTAAATATGAAATCGTAGTTGTTGCTCTGCATCTGCCATACAAAATAATAAGAATGCACATGTTATACCTAGATACACATTCCAAATTCCCACTGATGACTATGATAGGAGATACATAGGGCCCGATCTAATAATGATTATAATGATTATAATCACTGCCTTAAACTTTGCAAACACCGTTTTTAAAATGAACAAATATTATTTTGGTTTGAGTCTAAATAATTTTATCATATCAACAGTTATAGCAAAGTCATAACATTGTGGTGGCACTGAACGTATTAATCAATTAATCAAGTGCTCTTCTATAGATGGAGATAGTGACTCACAGAACATTTTCATGTGTTCCCAGCAACGGCGCAGCTCATTCGCAGTAATTTACCAAGATTGAGTAACCAAGTGCACAGATGTCCTGTTCAAGTCCCTAAGCCAGCGGTACAAGTTCCACATTCTCATGCCAAGGTAAACTTTTCAGAAAAGATAAGTGTTGCTGACCTTACCACAAAGTGGTTATATTTCACCAAGACCCAAAGGGATGATGTGCTGTCAACTCTCAACTAAAAATGTAACTCAGAATATTCCACTATTTCTCAAAATATTTCACCTGGAATATCTCTCGAGATAAAAAAAAACTAATTTTGAATGGTGTCCAGGGTTAAAGCATGAATTCATGAGAGTTAAGCACTGGTTTACCAGTATCTCAAATCGTTAGATATACTCGGCTTACTATTTGGAATGTTCATGTATTTTGTATAGTCTGCATGTTTCTGCTAGGAGAGGGAGCATGGACATGTTTCACTCACGTTGTGCCTTTGAAAAAGCAGGTATTCCACACATTCCGTGTGTCCATTTTCTTCAGCTAAATCCACAGGTGTATATCCCCAAGAGTCTTTTGCATTTACATCAGCTTCATGCATCAGCAAAATTTCACAACACTGTTGGGAAAATTACAACATTCATTGAAACACGAGTGTAGGACGAGAATGTGTCCTTGTTAGCAGTGTTGGAGTATTCAAGTTAACTTTTGTAAATACCTTCACTTACCTTTGCATAATGCATTTGCAAAAACTACACAGAATGTAGCACTGTGGTATACCAGAACTTGCTGTGCATTTAGTGTGTGTTTTACTGGACGGTACAGTATATATTGGAGCATAATCAGAATGAGCACTCTATGGCCAGCTGTCACAGATCCGATTAACGCCATTCACCACCCTCAACATCCGTATTGCAAGGTGAAACTGTAAAGGTTTGATCCCAGCAATTACATTGAAGATTTATACCAGTCCAAAGTTTGAACATATTATATTGTTGATGCAACCTGCTTTTGTGGCGCTACGGCCTCGAAGCCACTCTGCAGGTGCCACGACCTCCCCCCTGACCCCCCCACTGAATACACACACACACATCGCACACACGTAATGTCCTGACGTTGGGTCGCCTGGCAGTCGGGTTTTAATCCGAGGTTTCCTCTGAGGAATGTCCGATGGTTGCTCCGATGCCAGTAGATTGGCTCGACCCAGCAAGACAGTTTTACATCGCAGCGCCCCTGAATTGGTTATTAGCGTAACAATTTCCCAGGTTAGCTGCGATGAATGAACATTCTGGAACGGCTAAGGAACCTAGAAATTAATTATTTAAGGTAGAATTTAACTTCACTCCCAAAATAGTACAACAAACAGATGCCAATCATAAATCCATGGTTTAACCCTGGAATTTAAAAAAAACGTATTCATCATAAAAAAACTAAACTTGGGTTTTAATGAATTAAAGATAAATCTGTCTCCACACCTTGAATTGGCACGTTCTGCTTACGTGACAAACCTTACTAATTGGCTGTGTCGGGTGGTGGCGGGTTTAACGACACATTTATATTTACGCGATCTGACCCAACAAACCTATATTATGGATGATATTGGTCGCGAAAGCCTACATGTTAAACTATGTCACATTATATTCTTAGTTTTTTCGGTAAAGTCACGTTGAAGAGAAACAACAAAATAACAAAATATATATAAAACAATAAAAAATTCTCACGACGTTTCGACCATAACTCAAACGGTCATCATCAGGTGTGTGTTATTTTGTTGTTTCTCTTCAACGTGACTTTACCGAAAAAACTAAGAATATTAATTACTGCAGTCACGAAAGCTTTAAATCAAAATTTATGTCACATTACTTTACAATTTACGTAATAAAAATGATCATTTATGATCCATTCCTGTTGACAATGAAAACTGTCTTTGAGAAAAATATAACATCGTCTATAAATGACTATTTTTAACAAAGCGCACTGGCAGTTTTAGTATACTGATATTTACAGAAATATAATAAAATCGGATGGTGGCATGGTGTAATCTAGAGGTAACCAATTCGATTCGCTCTCCCGGCGTGGCAGTATAAGTCAGCAATACCACAGTAACCCGAACGTAAAGCTCGCATATGGTGGAATAAGGTGGAGCCCCTTCCTAACAGCAGTGGCTTGAGCAGGTAATTTCTGGGCTTAATACGATGCACAGTTTGATTATGAGAGGAGGCGGCTATTCTCAGTCATATTTCCTGACAATTACATTTCCGTAACATAATTACGTGGAATAAATTCCTTAAAATGTATCTACATAGTCTTATTAACTTATTTCGGACCTAGGTAGAGTTGTAATGGTGTTGGGGCTGCGTGGCATTGGAGGTATGTTGTTGTTTAGTAACTACATCTTTTTATCTCCCTCTGCACAATGACTCTGTGTTAATTAAATATACGTAAACAATAAGAAAATTCTTAAATATGGCAAGTGGTGTCGGGCATTGTTGCTAAATAAAAGTTTGGGAAAAAAGCTATGAAGGACTGGTATTCGCTTGTTGAATTTGATATGCATGAGCTCACGTTGGTGTATTGTGATGTCCTGAATAAACATCTCCCTTCCTCCTCGATGGTGCTGGATGGTAACACTGCCGTGGCTCAGTTTAACACGTAGGCTTTCGTCAACAATATTATCCATAATGTTTTTTTTGGGGTTAGATCGCATAAATATAAATTGGGTTGTGAAACCCGCCATCATCCAACACAGTCGATTAGTAAGGGTTGTCACAAACAAAACGTGCCAATTAGTTACTACTTCAGCACACCGGTGTGTTAGAGAGTAAACGCACACGATTTACAATTTGCGTACAATGTTTTGCTGGTGATTAGAACCAGCTTCATCAGGCGATTATTCAGAATTGTTAAGAATTATTCCTGTTTCGGCCTTAAATAGAGTAAAGGTCATCACTGTCAGCCTATCAGGTGCGTAGACCAGAGGAGGTTAATGTAGTTAAATAAATTACAATGGATCATATTAATCTGATAATATAAAGTACATATTATTGTTTTTTTTATTCACAGTGTTTAGTCTGTTGTCCCTCCCCGCACCTCCGATTAGCACGGTTGGTCACTCACGGTGCGAAAGAAGTTCAACATACATACATAATGTTCTGATAATATGCAGAGAATATTCAGTACCTTTTATTGATTGGGTTGCTCACAGTTAATCAACATCCAGTCGAATGCTTTCATATTTAGTTTATCGTCTCTTCCTGCACCTTCAATTAGCACAGTTGGCTATGCACGGTGTAAAGAAGTTCAACATTATGTTGATCTGAGATTATGCGGTCCATATTACTGGCTGGATTAGTCACAGTTAATCAGCATATGATGACCTACATAGATATGCAATTAAACAGTTTATTACTTGATAATCCGCTTCCAAGCAGCACTAAGCCTGTCGCTATCAGAACGAAATATATTTTTTATTTATTTCAATTTCAATAGATTATCTCATTTGTCTTGGCCGGTAACAATTACTTTCACACAAAACATCAACATTATCAAATTGAATTGAATGTCTTTGTTGGCACGCATGTTCTGCAACTGCTGACAGTTGTGTCTGTGAATATTTAATATTTGTTTGGAGTTATTTTAGTCTTGTGCTGATAATTTGTCCCATCAGACCAGCATGGCATTGGCCACAAGATAAATTAATCCGGTACACATCTTCTGCAAATAGTTTCAGTAATTAATCTTTAGTACCAGATATTAGTCTTTGCATTTTGCGTACTGTGCCAAATATCACTCAGATTTGTTTTAAATCTGGTTAGTTTATTATATACTCTTGCAATGTATTTTAATAGTTGTGCTATTTGATTCGAATCTATATCTTCAAATATTTTATTTTATACCTACGTGACTTTACTGATAAAAGTGGCAAGCGAGAATTTAATGATTACTTGCAGCTGGGGTTGGCATCTTCCCCCCTTCCTCCTGATGCCGAGGCGAAATAGGTTGGGTATACGACTGTAGCTCATGCAGTTGCAATGCCTACTTTGGGTATACAGTCCAAACCTCCGCAGAGACCCTGGCTGACAGAGGAGGTGTTCCAGCTAGCTGAAAAAAAGTGACAGGCCCACTCCCAACGTCTGCAGCATCCCATGTCAAAGAATGAGGCGGCTTACCACAGCCTTCACTAGGAAGTTCAGAGAGGCATGCAGCGCGACAAGGATGAGCGGTGGTCGTGGGTTGCCAAGGAGATGGAATCTGCCTCAGTAGCCCGTGATCACAATTCACGATTTAATTCCATCAAAAACGTAACTTGCAGCACCACACCTATTACCATCCTAAGGGAAAATAATGGTGATCCGTTCTCTGACCATCAGCAACAGGTTTACAGATTTGTTGAGCATTTCTGTGAGTTCTTGAGGGAGAGGAAATCCCTTCGCCCAGAAAACATGAGGCAAGATGGGGATGACCCTGCTGGGGCTGTGGTGCCCCCTGTGAGTGACTGGCTGAGGTGCCATCAGTTGAGGAAGTACGGAAGGCATTCCAGAGTCTGAGTCCAGGAAAAGTGCCAAGCAGAGATGACCTCCCAAGCGCACTGCTGAGGCAAGGTGGAGTTTGTATGCAAACTGCCCTTTATGACATAACAACAGTCTGGACCACTGGATGGGTTCTGCAGGAATGGAAGGATGCACTGGTGATCTCCTTCTTTAAGAAGGGGGGCCGCATAGACTAACAGCTACACCTGCATCCCCTTCCTCAGTGTGCCAGGAAAGGTCCTGGCAAGGATTATTCAACATGGCCTGGCCAGGCATGCTGAGGAGAGGATTGCAGAGCCCTAATGTTGTTTCAGGTTAGGGCAGTCGTGCACGGATGCCATAGTCTCTGTCTGTCTGCTATAAAAGAGGTATAGGGAATTCCAACAGAACCCACATCTCTGCTTTATTGACGAAGTCAACGCATATGATACCATGAATAGCTTGCCTGCTTTTGGAGGCCCTGACTCGCTTCTCACAATCATTAAGGACCTTCATGGTGGTGGGAAGACCCGGGTAAATTTACCTGGCTAGGAGTCAGAGCCATTCCCTGTTCACCTTTGGTGCGCAGGGATGTACTCTCGCCCCTATATTATGTAACATCTTTTTTCTACCACGTAGTTTGGAAGTCCTCCATGACTGTACCAGAGTAATTTCCATATTGTACAGATACAATGCGAGGCTAATCGATGTTCAGGTGCGGTCGAGGGATGGCTCCCTATTGGTCAACCATATTATGCATGCTGATGATCTGGTGATTTTTTGTTCACTCAGAGATGGAGTAGAGAGGTTTCCATAACTGGGCAGTGTGCTTATGGCCAGCTGTGGTTTGACAGCAGAGATCTCACTCCTAATCACTCGAGTGTTATTATCTTTTCATCGGCTGCGTAACGCTGTGTAAAAGCTACCTGGTCTGTCACTCCATACGTAGCTTCGGGTCTTGTTGGTCCAGAGTCATGCCCTCCCTCCTATATGCGTGCGAAACGTGGACCCCATAATGGAACATCTGTGACGGTTAGAAACATTCAGGCTGGCCCGCCTATAATCCATCCTGGGTTTAACCAGGCTGGATTGTGTGAGCAAATCCTTCAAAGATCTTGACACAGTCCTATCGGTGAGCTCCTCCGGCAGACATGGTTGTGTTGGCTAGGTCATTTATCTTGCATGTTCAACCACCGTATGCCCAAACAGATTTTGTGTGGCCAGATAGAGGGGGCTAAATGGGTGCGACACGGGCTAAAGAAGAGATGGACTGATGTGGTCCAAAAGGAAATGGAGCTGAGTGGACTTGCCAATGACTAGTACCAGCAGTGTCAAGATCGGCTTCTTTGGAAGAGGCTCATGAAGGACGCTACTGGGAAGTTGGAGGGAGTCACTCTCCAACAACAGCGCAGGGCAGACGAGCGATGCTCAGAAAAATGAGAGGAGCGCCAGACGGCTAAAACACAGCAAGTTGGCACAGTACGGGGCACAGGTGGACATCTGCCAGTCATCTCAGTCAGTCAACCCAAGGCATCTCGGTCTGTCCCTTGACCTCCTGCCAGTGAGCCGTCGACACTGAACGTGGCCTTAAAGTGAATGTAGCCTGGCACAAGTGCCATGGTAATGTGACCACCACTTAGTGAAAAATGGTGGTTGTTGTATTGTGACGATTCAAAATGTATGTCTGATCCTCTTTAGATTACTAACTACTATTTTATTTTACCAGGTAAGCCCCACTGACCTATATAGCTCTTTTTCAGAAGTGATCTGGCCACAAATAATAGCTCAACGAAGTGGCTTATCATGCGGACATTTATAGCAGCCAAATACTCTAAATGCATGTTTCTAAATGTGGCCCCGGAGAAATATCCATGCGACCACCGGGAGAACATGCATACTTCGAGTATACAGGCGTCCAGGTGGGGATCAAACCCACGACCTCCTGCACACCAGGCGAGGTAGTCAAAATCTCAACACCGTGGTGCCCTCATTACATGTACATTTACCTTAATGTGTCCATTATCTGCGGCATCATGAAGTGGGTAGCATCCCGTGAGGTCCACCTGGTTCTTAGCACCGTGAGCAAGGAGCCAGTCCATTGTTGAGCAATGTCCTCCTCCTGCAGCAAAGTGCAGTGGGCTTACGCCATCTCCGTCCACATGATTAAGATTGAGGACCGTGAATTCTGTCTGTAGGAATGTATTGCAAATTAAGAATACATCACGCAACATATCGTACATCATAGAAAGTATCATAAAGTAAAGCAATATGAGAGGGTGAGAGCACCTGGCTGTAGAGAGAGACCTATGGGAGAGAGGGAGTGGGGTCAGGGAGTCGCTCAGCAATGGAAACTTCGATTTAAATCTTTCGTGACTGCAAGGATTCATCTTCTTTGGTTCTTTCGGTAAAGTCACGTAGAATGAGAATAAAATAATAAATTGATAATAGAATATTATTGCGTTATTTTATCAACTTATTATTTTATTCTCATTCTACGTGACTTTACCGAAAGAACCAAAGAAGAATGGAAACTTCCTTTCGTCTTTCTTAAAAAGAAACCTTGTGCAATAGTATGTAACACCTCTTGGGGCTTTACAATTCAAAACGTCATATATAAATGCCCATGGATGGGTATTTGACTTTTATTTACATATAAAGGCATGTCTCGCTTGACGAGCGTTACTTAAACGAGAATTTGCGAAAACGAGCAAGTTAAATTTAGCCCAGTTTTTTTCATAAAACGAGAAAATGTTCGCGTAACGAACGGAGACCGATCGATCGAATGCGTCCCGTGGTGACAGGGGGCCGCACCACGGCCCGCAGTAGTTTGTTTACCATTCTTCTGTGCTGTACTTCATAAGTGCGTGATTCAGGGAGGGGGACTCGTGGTGGCACCACCAATGGGTGGGTGTGGGGAGCGATGGCGCAATGGTGCAATGGTTGACACACCACGCTATGAACCACCCAGTGATCCGAGTTAGATTCCTGCTGACGGCCAACACCAGTGACGATTATATGCTTAGTTCTTTCGGTAAAGTCACGTTGAAGGGAAACAACAAAATAATAAAATATATATAAAACAATAAAAATTCTCACGACGTTTCGACCATAACACAAACGGTCGTCTTCAGGTGTGTCGGTTCGCATTAATTTATTTATTTTTAAACGGTGTATTAAAAACGGTGTATTAAAAAAATACACACAAAATACACCGTGACTTTACCGAAAGAACTAAGAATATGAATTACTGCAGTCACGAAAGCTTTAAATCAACCAATGACGATTGTTATCTGATAGGGTCCTGGGTCTCCCCTGGGACGACTTGGACTCAAATTAGTATCTGGTGCGGTGAGTAAATATCGCCACTAGTGAGACAAAGGTGGCCGGGCGTGATGCTGGCCACCCATACAGGCCTTCATAGGTGCTCGCTAACAGCACTTGGCCCAACAGTCTGTTAAGGCTATACGGGGGATATTTGTCTTTGAGAGAGCGAGGTATGTATGAGACAGAGTGTAGAGAGGGCTGTGTGATTGAGTGTAGAGAGAGTGTGTGTGTGAGTGATTTCAAATATGTGGCTATACGGAGGCTCTCGCACTGTAGTTCTTCATGTGTGGTGTTAAATTTGATGTATATTGCAAATTTATACTGTACTTTTTGTTTCTCATGTTAACTAAGTTGTCTAAAAGTGGCCACTTTTGGGGCTGAAACGTATCTCTGATTTTAACATGGGGAGTCAATGGAAAAACGATCGTTTACTGGGCAATTTTCGTGGAACGTATCTCGCTCATTAAGCAAAACATGCTTGTATTCCTAAATGCATATGTACATTATTTTCCCATTACAACTCCACCGAGCCTCATGATTCTTTTTCAGGAGGATCAGGCAACGTTTTTGGACCATGACACCAGTACACAAATGGCCAATTCTTGTTAATGGCGTCACAAAGTCACTGTGAAATAGACCCTGTGCAGTATTTTATGATTGATTAGGACGTCCGCTGAAATCGAACTGTGAACCTCTCCAACAATCGGGCCGAATATGTAAAGCTTGTGTTTGATCCTACATGACAATTAGATTACAGTTTTTATGTCCCTTTTCTACGTCTCTTAAAATAATTCTGCTCAATTCAAGTCACGTAAATTTGGTGGCGAACTGCGGTCACAATCTGTGTCCGAATCGTGCCAACCTAAAATGTCTGCCATCAAAATTTCCAGAAAAAACAATCCCATAATGAATTGGGCCCAGAGCATTTCCCTGCTCAAACCAACATTTGGCTATGCTTATCTTCACATTGGTGGGCCTGAATCAGGGGTGGTAATGTCACAGTTCCACGTCTTTTCATTGAAACCATTAGGCATTGATACCAGAGAGGAGATTGGTTGAGTTCATCCTCTGACTAGGATTTTAACTCCATTTTCGACGAGGGCACATTGGCACGGTGCTGCATCGCCACATAAACCTCTCAACGCTGCTTTCTGGCATTTTGTAACGGACAACATATTTCAAGGTGGTTTACAGGCAGTCCTTGACTTATGCACGGATATGTTCCTGAGACCTGTTCATAAGTCGATTTGTTCATATCTCAGAACTCAATATTTAATTGTACATATGGTCGTTGTTATGGTCCAACAAAAAAGGCAAGCATTATTACAAGCATAAATAATGAGAGAATGTACATCGGGAATGCGTTCCTGAAATGTGCGATGAATATAACGACGTAAATAATAAAAAAATGTACAGGGTAGAGGCAAAGGCTGAGGCAAAAAGACAGATTCTGTCCGAGACATATGGTTTGAGGCTACGCAAATAAGGTAATGGACTAAATTAAGTGACGACGTTTGTGCAAAATTACCTATAAGGGGGAGACACAAATTGAGTGTTACTGTAATACTGTAAGAAAGACAATTTAAATAAAACCTAAATGAAAGTAATATTAAAATAAAAATAAAACATATTTTCACTTTCCTTGAGTCCTGATACTGGCTTGTCGGAAGGGGTGTGTATCACGCGGGATGCTGGGACTCATTACATCTCGCGGAGGATCGCTCCTCTGAACAAAATAGTTCTGTGGTTCAGTTTGTAAATACAACTGGAGGTTACGGTTAAAAATAATAAAATCTTATGGGGGTTCGTTCGGAAGTGCGGATGTTCATAAGTCAGACAGTATCTCGGGGACTGCCTGTATATGTATTCAAGTATAATCAAACAAAATTATATGTTGAAAATATTACGGCTACGTTTTACAATAAAAACAGATGTAGTTACTTTACCAGCCAGGCAAGCAACGGAGTGTGGCCATTTTGTGCAGCAGCATGAAGCGGAGTCATCCCATCCTCACTTTGTATCGTAACATCAGCTCCCCATTTCTCCACAAGCCGTTGTAAAAGGAAAAGATGCCCTTCTTGGCATGCCAAATAAACAGGTGTCACACCTTCACGTGTGCGTGCATTAACTGTGCTGCAGGGACAAAACAGTAGATCACATTGCAAAACAACAGAACACAAACACAGTACAAGCACAGGTGCAATACATATAGCCAAGTCATGTAGAGCTCTCCATTAAGTTTCTAAACTCATCGCCATATCCATTAACCATCTTGGCCTTCCACAGTATCATAGCACGTGTAGAATTTCATCTGCCTCCTCCATGAACAAAAATCCACTGCTTGCAAATTTAAGTGTCCTACTTTACAAAAAAAGTAAAAAAAAGAATCTTCATAAGTAGGTCTTCATATTCTTAGCTCTTTCGGTAAAGTCATGTTGACGGGAAACAATAAAATATATTAAAAAAATTCGTCTCCTCCCTCCTCTTTTCAGAACATAGATGGACTCGTCCTTCTAAACAAACTGCCAAATCGCTGCCCGTGGTGCTGACGTTTTTAAAAAATAAACACAAACACCGTTTTAAAAATAAATAAATGCAAACCGCCACTTCTTTCAAATGTTTCCTGCCGTTGGTTTTCACATCTGATGATGACCGTTTGTGTTATGGTCGAAACGTCGTGAGAATTTTTATTGTTTTATATATATTATTATTTTATTGTTTCTCTTCAACGTGACTTTACCGAAAGAGCTAAGAATATGAATTACTGCAGTCACGAAAGCTTTAAATCAAAATGTAGGTCTTCATATTCAAATAGTCAAAAAGATTCACGTGCAGCGCCCACTGATGGGAATGGCATTGTTATATATCAGCAGATTTGTCGGTGCTGATGATCTATTTAACTTGGCAGCTGACTTGATAGCTTACTATATGATGGTGGGTATTCTAAATGGGCCCAATAAAAGTTTCACAATTTTGAGAAACCCCAATGGAACACACATTTATAACCACAAGATGCATGTTATGCTTGATTTCTTAAAACGTGCACATTTTACAAGCTTACGACATTGAGCTATAATTTTCTTTCTGCCATTTTACAATGAAATAATATTTAAGCGGTGTATTTATTTGTAGGCATTTATTGCTTAAAACACCGTGGGTCTAATAAGTCCAACGCAGCCAACTTACTCTGGGGCTGCTTGGAGCAGGGCATTCGTAGAATCGGGATCTCCACGTACAGCTGAGTAATGTATCGGCAAAGCAAGCGCTTCAGTGACAGCACGCGGGTCACATCGGCCAGACTGGAGCAACCAGTTCACAACCGCTGTACAGCCAAACCGTGCTGCCACATGCAACACAGTGCAGCCTGCACCATCGCGCTCCTGTCACATCACCATGTTAAAAGCATACAATGAATATTCACCGAAAGTGAGTGATTTGCTCCGTATGAAGGACATGTAGAGAGACGTGTTTTACGAATGCACGTCATTGTTTTCACTCAGAATGGTGGCAGATGAGGCAGAATCGAAGTACATACACGCGCAGACGTGTGGATACTGCAAAATTGAGGTCGGGTTCCAAAAGAAATCCAAAACCGGCGGAGCCTCTGTGGACTTGTCATCGGCCTAAACATAGTCTGGATTAAGGGCTTGATTTTGAAGCTGACAAGGACCATTCCTTGCTTCCACTGATTACATATCTACATATTGTCTAATCTTGCTGGTAGGAACCTCCTGGTTACATCAGCCCACAGGGGATTATTGTGTCCGTCCGTCCGTCGTGCATCCAAAAATGGGAGGGGTGGGGCTGGGTGGAGAGGGGAGGGTGTGGAGGGGCTGGGTGGGGAGGGAGGGGCTGGGTGGGGAGGGGAGGGTGGAAAGGGGCTGGGTGGGGAGGGTGGGGAGGGGCTGGGTGGGGGGTGGGTGGGTGGGGAGGGACTGGCTGGGGAGGGGCTGGTCACCCCGTGGTGCCCTTATAAAACTCAACGTTTAACCTACTCACGCCGGCTTGTGCCCGCCCTCACAGTCGGGCATATTTGCGGAATTCACCACGTGGTGCCGCCGTTGACCCTGGCCATTGACCGAGCAACCCAACGTTCCTACCAGCTCCCTCCGCAGGAATGTGTTTATAATGTATTCTGATTACCCTTATCATTCCTCTGAATTCAACTCCCTGCTATTTATATCCCATGAATACAATACATATCCTACTATATCTCTCTAATTGTGTCTGAATGCATCTTTCCTACTCTTATAAATATCTTTTGAATTAATCTCTCCTATATTTCCTTTCCCATAGCCCTTCTGAATACGTCGCCTATCTCTAATATCCATTGTGAATGTTGTGACTGAGTTACCAATGATACTGGTGATGATGTGATAAGGACGTTAGTGTGACTCGACGCTGTCTCCTGGAGCTACCTTGAGTGCAAGGGGCGTGCAAGAGCGGAAATGCATCGCGGAACAAAAGAAACCGAACGACGAGCCAGAGTAAACACAACGCAAGAGACTACTACCGAACTAATTCTTGGTTCTTATTCTTAGCTCTTTCGGTAAAGTCACGTTGAAGGGAAACAATAAAATAATAAAATATATATAAAACAATAAAAATTCTCAAGACGTTTCGACCATAACACAAACGGTCGTCATCAGGTGTTAAAAAACCAACGGCAAGAAATATTTGAAAGAAGTGTCGGTCCGCATTAATTTATTTATTTTAAACGGTGTTTTTATTTATAAAAAAAAACGTCAGCGCCACGTGCAGCGATTTGGCAGTTTGTTTAGAAGGACGAGTCCATCTATGTTCTGAAAAGAGGAGGGGGGATACGAAAAATGAATGTATGGCTTTCAGACAGCATACATTAATTTTTCGTCTCCCCCCTCCTCTTTTCAGAACATAGATGGACTTGTCCATCTAAACAAACTGCCAAATCGCTGCGCGTGGCGCTGACGTTTTTTTATAAATAAATGCACCGTTTAAAAATAAATAAATTAATGCAAACCGACACTTCTTTCAAATATTTCTTGCCGTTGTTTTTTTTTCACACCTGATGACGACCGTTTGTGTTATGGTTGAAACGTCGTGAGATTTTTTATTGTGTTATATCTTTTATTATTTCATTGTTTCCCTTCAACGTGACTTTACCGAAAGAGCTAAGAATATGAATTGCTGCAGTCACGAAAGCTTTAAATCAAAATTTAATTCTTGGTTCTTTCAGTAAAGTCACGTAGAAGGGAAACAATAAAATAATACAAATATAAAACATGTGACTTTACCGAAAGAACCAAGAACATGAATCCCTGCAGTCACGAAAGCTTTAAATAAAATTTTTACTACCGAACTTTTACATTTTTCATTTAACATTAACCACACATGTGATCTCAGGAAGATTGATGGACATGAAGCTGCAAAACACAGTGAGGCCAAGCTATTGTGCAAATTGACATGGTTAGAACAGTTTTTTTTAACCAACTGATTAATGATCAAAGACACAAAAACACCTATCTGGAACAGACCGAACTGATTAAAGTTCATGGTTCAATCGGTTTTGGGTTAAACAAAACCAATTCGCACGGTTGGCAAAATACCGTGCGCGAAAGTTCAACATACGTACATATCATCTCTTCCGAAAACATCTGTAACGGTACTCTTTGGTTCTTTCGGAAAAGTCACGTAGGTATAAAAATGAAAATAAATTAAATCACGACGTTTCGATCGCAACACAAGCAATCATCATCAGGTGGGAAAACCACAGCAATATTTTTTTGCTGAAGTGGGAAAGAGCTGCCGTGGTAAGAGGTTAAAGAGGTAAGATAAAATAAATTTAAATTTGTGATTAAATTTATTTTCTGCCTACGTGACTTTACAGAAAGAACCAAATAGTATGGATCCCTGCAGTCACGAAAACTTCAAATCTAGATCTGTAACGGTGTGGACGAATGCTGCTTAGCCAGGGTGAGCCGAGGTTACATGAGGTGGGGGGGGGGGGTGAGCAGTTATGGGGGGAGGGGATCCCCTAAAACCTCCATCTCCCGAAGCCAAGGCGCCACAGTCTGGCCTTTGACTGTGGGGTCCTGGCACGAGTTGGTCAGTCAGGACAAGCCAGTTGGGCGTGGGCTTCGGGGTAGGGCTGAACGATTAATCGATTTCAAATCGAAATCGCAATTTGAAACAATGCGATTAGCAAATCGCAAGGACTGCGATTTTTTGCGATTTGACAAGTCATATTTCTTGTTGGAATTGTTTTTTTTATCATTATACATTTATTTAACTTAACAATTGTTCTATGTTTGATTGTTCTATTTGAATTTTTTTTTTATAAATGCATGTTGGAAGCAATTCACATCTTTTAAGTTCTCATCTTTGCATGAGAATATATAGAGCAGCTCATATTGTTGATGGTATCACGTGGCAATGCTCCATCACGTCTTTTAAATCTATTACGCAGTGAATATTGAACTGAAGCTTGACTAAACAAAAAAATAATCGCAAATCAAATCGCAATATCTGTCAGAAAAATCGCAATTAGATATTTTCCCCAAACCGTTCAGCCCTACTTAAGGGGGGGGGGGGGTCGACGGGGGCTGTACGGGATTGGCGATCCGGGACCGCCGCTGCTTTCAGTCGCTCAAAGCGCTTGTTGGAAGCACCAAAACCATAGTCCCAAGACTGCCGCGGCTTTGAGTCGCTCAGAGCGCTGTTGATGAAAGCCCCAACCAAGTCCTGAGTGCCAATTGTGTTCCTTTGGTGCCTGCTGCGTTGTCTCCTCATCCGGGAGTGAAGCATGGATAATGATTGGCGTCAACAGTCGCCTCGGTGTTCCGTGATTGTGAACACGTGGGGGTGCTGTGTTAAGCTGGTGAACTAAGAAAAATAATGCACGCTGTTACTGTTGCCGAGGGTTTTGAAGAGTTGGTTGACGAGACATTATCCGCCAAAGTTCGTGTCTTGTGAATGGCGTCAATAGTGCATAACAGACCAAGGCATAGTTAATACATTCCAAATTTTGTGAGGATTCTCTGTATTCCGCATCAAGTTATTGTCCATCTATCTGTCGCCGTTAAAAGAACGTTTAAAAATCCGCGTTGGTGCCCTATAAAAAAATAGAGGGAATTGAATGGAAGAGAAAATAGAACCCAACTCCTCTCCCTATTAGAAAAAAAATAGCAACCCTCAGCATTCACCTGATCTTAAAAGCTCTTTTTAATAGAACCTCTATTATGCTTACAGTTATTATCTACGAGGGGGTGGGTGGCCAGCACCACGCCCGGCCGCCTTTGTCTCCCCAGTGGCGATGTTCACACACCACAGCAGTTACTCGATTGAGGCTGAGTCGACCTAGGGGAGGCCCAGGACCGGTTCAAATAATCGTCACCGGTGGTGGCCGTGAGCGGGAATCGAACTCCGGTCGCCGGGTTCATAGTGCAGCGTGATAACCACTACACTACAATGCGTCACGCTTCCACATGCGCGGGTCACATGACAGATTTGACGTCACAGCTCATTTGCCGTGCAAAAAATATATACATTATTGAGCTCCCCCCCCCCCCAAAAAAAAAAGTGTATTTTTAAAATTTTTGCATGCTGTACAGTCTGGAAAGTACCCACATGGCAAATTTCCAGTTTGTTGCATGTCGGGAAGTACGCTAAACATTTTGAACAGACACACACATATATATGGAGAAGTACCTTTCTCTGTCAATGATATCTCTCCTGAATATATGTATCTCCTCTATTTTATATTTTTGAATATCTTATCTTGATTTGAAGCTTTCGTGACCGCAGGAATCCATACTCTTTGGTTATTTCAGTAAAGTCATGGAGGTAGAAAAATAAAATAAAATGTATCTCCCTAATCTCCCCCAACTGACGTGCTTGCGTCCGGGGATGGATTTCCTTTCCAGCTCAGACCCCGCCTCTGCTTGCTCATCGCCACATCTATAACCTTGTTGTTGTAGCTGCTCTCTCGCTGTGTTCGTCCTTCACCACATCTATAACCTCCTTGTTGCTGTAGCTGCTCTCTCGCTGTGTTCTTCCTACACCACATCTATAACCTCCTTGTTGTTGTAGCTGTTCTCTCGCTGTGTTCTTCCATCACCACATCTATAACCTCCTTGTTGTTGTAGCTGCTCTCTCGCTGTGTTCTTCCTACACCACATCTATAACCTCCTTGTTGTTGTAGCTGCTCTCTCGCTGTGTTCTTCCTTCACCACATCTATAACCTCCTTGTTGTTGTTGCTGCTCTCTCGCTGTGATCTTCCTACACCACATCTATAACCTCCTTGTTGTTGTAGCTGCTCTCTCGCTGTGTTCTTCCTTCACTACATCTATAACCTCCTTGTTGTTGTAGCTGCTCTCTCGCTGTGTTCGTCCTTCACCACATCTATAACCTCCTTGTTGTTGTTGCTGCTCTCTCGCTGTGTTCTTCCATCACCACATCTATAACCTCCTTGTTGTTGTAGCTGCTCTCTCGCTGTGATCTTCCTACACCACATCTATAACCTCCTTGTTGTTGTAGCTGCTCTCTCGCTGTGATCTTCCTTCACCACATCTATAACCTTGTTGTTGTAGCTGCTCTCTCGCTGTGTTCTTCCATCATCACATCTATAACCTCCTTGTTGTTGTAGCTGCTCTCTCGCTGTGTTCTTCCTTCACCACATCTATAACCTCCTTGTTGTTGTAGCTGCTCTCTCGCTGTGTTCTTCCTTCACCACATCTATAACCTCCTTGTTGTTGTAGCTGCTCTCTCGCTGTGTTCGTCCTTCACCACATCTATAACCTCCTTGTTGTTGTAGCTGCTCTCTCGCTGTGTTCTTCCATCACCACATCTATAACCTCCTTGTTGTTGTAGCTGCTCTCTCGCTGTGTTCGTCCTTCACCACATCTATAACCTCCTTGTTGTTGTAGCTGCTCTCTCGCTGTGTTCTTCCTTCACCACATCTATAACCTCCTTGTTGTTGTAGCTGCTCTCTCGCTGTGATCTTCCATCACCACATCTATAACCTCCTTGTTGTTGTAGCTGCTCTCTCGCTGTGTTCGCCCTTCACCACATCTATAACCTCCTTGTTGTTGTAGCTGCTCTCTCGCTGTGTTCTTCCTTCACTACATCTATAACCTCCTTGTTGTTGTAGCTGCTCTCTCGCTGTGTTCTTCCATCATCACATCTATAACCTCCTTGTTGTTGTAGCTGCTCTCTCGCTGTGTTCTTCCTTCACCACATCTATAACCTCCTTGTTGTTGTAGCTGCTCTCTCGCTGTGTTCTTCCTTCACCACATCTATAACCTCCTTGTTGTTGTAGCTGCTCTCTCGCTGTGTTCGTCCTTCACCACATCTATAACCTCCTTGTTGTTGTAGCTGCTCTCTCGCTGTGTTCTTCCATCACCACATCTATAACCTCCTTGTTGTTGTAGCTGCTCTCTCGCTGTGTTCGTCCTTCACCACATCTATAACCTCCTTGTTGTAACAACTTTCTCGCTGGTTCAGCAGTTCCACTGCTAGATTTTTTTTCCGCCTAAAGGACGACCGCTTGTGTTGCGATCGAAACGTCGCGATTTATTATTTTTTTTACTGACGTGGCTTTACCGAAAGAACCAAATGGTATAGTTTTGAATATCTTGTTAACACTTTTTGTTTGTATGTGCCTTTTTTTCATGCCATTTCTTGATTTGTTTATTAATTTTTAGTTTCCGAGGGGTTCCATTTGTTTTGTAGTTGCTAGAAATAAGATTTGGCCCTGAGATATAATGAATGTATGGCGTTGTTGGATGAAATTCGCATGATAGAGGCTATAGACAATGAAGTTATTAAATGACTATTGCATTGTTATTATGTCTGTTGAATCTGTTGGTCGAATCGAAATAATGCGAATTAAAATAATTGAAAAAATAAATAACTATTGAAGCATCTTCAATGTATCGCCACTAATGGGGACTGATAAAATTGCTCAACGTTAAATACAGGAAAAAGTGGGCACATAATGTTGTTGGCAAAATATGCCACAATACATGTGTACATAAACCATGAAGACGATACACTAACCAACGCTAAGCAGACTTGACAAACACGTAGGGCTTTACCATTCTGGCGAATTGCCCGATGATGCTGGATGTAATTACCAGCGAAACGTCGTACTCAAACTGTAAATGTTGTGGATTCACTCTTCAAAACACCGGTGGGCTAAAGTAGTGAACTATTTTGTCTTTTGTCAACGTGACACTTTTTTGCTGATTGGCCGTGTCGGGTGGTGGAGGGTTACGACACATTTATAAATAACGCGATCTAACCCAAAAACCTTTATTATGAATAGATTATCAATGTTAGCAAGTTATATTGGACGGACATTATTTTGAGACCTATGCCATGGAGGGTGGGAATTAAAAGCCTTGAAAACACAGAACAAAAATAGCATATAGCAGGTGATGGATGGGAAGAAATGGCCCGAACCAACAGACGCTAAGGTCAATAATTGGCCACTGATGTCGGCCATGGGACGAAAATTGAACTCGGGTAGCCTGATTGGCAGCCACAGCTTTCCCCTAATGTTGCAGCTCTCCTTTTATTTATAATTTGAATATATTTCTCTCTTCTATAATGCATTTTCTAAATGCATCTTTCTCACCAATCTCACTCCTATAAAAACACAGTACATATCCTATCGTATATCCAGTGTAATCGGAATGCATAGCTCCCTGCTTCCACTATGAATATATCTCAATGATCTATTTCTATAAATACATCTTTTCTATTTCATCTGAATGCATATTCTATCACGTATCTTCAATTTTGTCGAAAATCTATGCAGTATTCACGAATGTTCTCACAAAATCACTTTTGCTTGGGACAAAACGTTAGATATTCATAATGTGCCGACGGAGTGGTGGAGGAGGCTCTTCTTGTGTTCGTGAATCGTGTGGACTCATTGCCAAAATCTTTGGTGATGCTGCACTGCTGCACAAGTACAATAAAAAAAATCAACACATTCGTCAATACCACTGTGGTGACGTTTCAAGGCTAATGACCTTCAAAGCACATAGGTCAAGAGACACAGATTGGATAATACACGTTTGAAACTACACAGTCGCACCAAAACAACAAAAAAAACCCCAGCTTGGGCTCCGAGGCCCTCCTTTGCTCACATGCTGCTCAGCTCTGCTGCTGTCCCGCTCACCTCGCTGTCGCAGGCCCCGTCCTCGAGCAGGTAGCGCAGACACGCAAGCTGGCCCCGTGCAGCCGCGTCGTGCGCTGGGCTCGCACGTGCCGGGCCGGTGCGGATTCTGGCGCTCAGGCGCGCCTCCCCGACCAAGAAACGCAGCGCGGTGAGGCTCCCCGCGCGCGCCGCGTGATGCACGGGTGAGGCGAGGCTGGACCATGCCGCCTGCTGCTGCTGCTGCTGCCGCCGTTCCTGCTGCCGCTGCTGCTGCTGCTCGTCTTGCAGTGACGCAAGCAGCCCCTGCGCGTGAAGCTCACGCAGGCTGGTCAGGTCACCCTGTTCGGCCGCTTCAATCGCGCGCACCAGCACCGCGTCAGACATGATGGTGCCCTGCCCTGCGCTCGAGAGAGCACGTGTTGTTGTTGTTGTTTTAAGACGATGCGAATTGTGGTGCTGCTTTATACAAGGTGCATGCACCATGAGCAAACACGGCCCGAATAAAGCGTTATGCGGGTGCTTGTGTGATGATACGGATACAATTACAATACTTTGTCTGGTCATACCATGTTTGCACATGGTCACCATGTCAGGGCATCGAGTTTCAAATACACAGTAAACATTTTAGCGCGACGCCTAACAATACAGTATATTCACCTGTGCTATGTTATGTGATATTGTTGAAAAAGCCTGGCTCCACAATGCAGCTGTTTTGTTTACACCGGCCCCAGCAAATCACTTGGTGCACATTTCAATGCCTTTCAATTCTTAAAAAAAAAACACACGCTCCTTTTGGCATACCCATATCTGATACCTTCAAATTCATATTGTCTTGAAACCACTTAATGTGCCCTGATATAATCAATATCTATATTCTGCACTGTTGCCAGATGCACTGTGTTTAAAGTATACACATTTTTGTATATGCACTCTTATATTTTCCTGTCACTATACTGGTTTTGCACTGTCACTATATTCAGGTATTATATTTCTCGCTTCGTCTGTAGTTTCTATCAGAACAAATTATTTTATGCCGTGTTGGCAGTGATGCAAGCAAAACACAAAATCAACACATTCGTTAATAAACACTGCCTTTATCGAACTGTGTGTCCCAGTCCAAGGAAATTAAATATACCTTAGATTTATACCTGGAAGTGTTGCCTTGGAATCCACGACTAAATCTGCGTCTCAAAATATAACAGTTCACTTAAATATTAGACAAAACCACTTTTTTTTAAAGACATTTTTAATTAAACTATGCCTTGCTGATTAATGTTACAAATTCTAATAAAAAAAAGGCCAATTCAATTTGGTTCATATATTTTTTATGTAAAGAAACATGGAAAATGTTGCAATCCATTTTTTTAAATAAAATACAATAAATAACCAAACTCCATACATGAAACTTCAGCAACAATCATATGCAAAGTTGCACAAAGTAATTAAATGCCCAGGAGAGGCTGATGTCCAGCTCAGTTTGTATAAACATGTGTAAGAGATGACACGTTCATTTAGTTCTTAAAAAATAGTATAAATATTCAGACAAATTAGCACAAATAAACATGTAACATATCGATTGCGCTACATTGACTTTGTACCATGAAAGTCTCGCAGTGTTCCAGTTATCCTGCGGTAATCAAATGCATACAATGTAATACAAGCCGTTTCCAAAACCTTCAAAATGTACGTCGGCGAAATAATATTTTTCAATACATAGAACTCTTGGTTTTATTTAATTTCAGAAAACTCTGTAGACGTGTGCAACTTTCTGCACTTTTTTTTTAAGTAAAGCCTGAGTGTGTTAAACTATGGTATTCATCAATATCAAAGTAGACCTTAAAACTAACAAAATATTACAATTCTCTCTAGGTTCGCTACAATCCAAGAAAACTGCTATTCTACACAGCTTGGAGAGCAATCTTTTCGAGTCATACAGCCCACTCATCTATCCAGGAGATGTTCTTTCTCTTGAAAATGAACTCCAATTGCCATTCCCCCAACATACAAAAAAAATTCAAAGCCCCTGCAACGTTCTTCATCATCCAGTTCCATGTAGAAATTACATTTTCAAAATCCAGGTGTGACTGAGAGGGAAAAAGTTTTTCAACGTTGATTTCTGCTCAGCAGCCAAAAACTCAAAATGATTTGATACTGCGTTTTAGAATTCTGAAGTGATGGCATTGAGATCCTTCATAAGACCTTCCAGACTTGCCATCTCCAGGCTAAGGTCATCAGTTGTGTCTTGCTGTGGAAACACACAGAAAAGTCCAGTTATAAGAAAAATTAGTATATCATTGAACACCTGTCAAGACTCAAGTAGGTTGAAGGATGGGTAGCATCAATCAGGGATATGGATTCATATTAGCAATACGATTGCGAAGTGTGCTATCAAATTTGGCAAATTATGTTATCAGGATTAGGTATTGTGATGTGACAGTAGTTGAAATGTATGTTATAGCTGGGATTAAGAGACATAATAAACTGAAAAATAAGGAAATCCGTGTGAGCAATGACAGTGTTTAAAGAATAGGTAAAACTAGGGAAAGTAATACAGTTCATGAGTTGACAAAGTTTAATTTCAAAGATGAATGCCAACAAATGTGTCAGAATAGGACTGAGTATTGGAAAGAAGAATAATAAAAGTTGAACACCCAGAAATAATTTCTCTATAACTAGAAGGTGTATTGGTAGGAGCAGGGGTAAAAGCTTATGTATTGGTTTAAGATCTAGAGATAGCAGCAGCAGCAGCACAACATTTTCAGAAGAGGGCATATTGAAGGATTGCTAGAGCTGATTTAGCCAAATCACCAGACTCAAAGAAAAAACAAACATCAGGTAGCAGGGGAAAGTAATGTGCAAATGGTGGAGAATACCACAGAAATGGATACAGATATTTTCCTAGCAGACATTAAACAGCCGTGAAATGGCGGGACCTTGCAAGGTAAACAGGAGTGTGCAGCATCACTGTGTACATTTTTTAAAAAAACAATAGCCAACTCAAATGTAGAAATTCAGGGAAGCTGCATTATGAGGTGGCGAATCGCTACAAGAGGATGGTAAAAGGCCCAAAAAAAATGGAGATTGCAGTAACATCAGAATACATTTATAGTGTTGTGCAATTTTACTGCGGGTGTTTAGCAACATTCTTTTTAGTATTGAATATTCTAAGTTACAACATCCTAGCATCTTGAACGTGTATGCTGGCAATCAGCCTGTGTAGTTAGGAGACGCGTTAGAATGGGCGTGGTAAGAACCGGTGTTTGATCGCAGAGTATTGTGTTTCCCAGTTTGTTCAATATTGTATTTGACTATTTACTGAAGCTATTAATAGAGGCACGGTAACACGACAGATACAGCATGCCAGTGCGCGCTATCCTTCTAAAATTATCTTATTGTGGCTTCACGAGTCTTGTTCTCAAATGTTACGGCGTGGTCATGTCTTGGATTCCACCCCTTGGCATGGGCTGCCGAGAATGTTTATGAATATTAACGATTTTGTGGATGGAGTCTGACATGTTGTTGCCCTCACAAGCCATCCAAAATCCACCTGGTATTCCCCTGTAACAATATCAATAAAGATTCATTTCTATAAACTGTGCTTCTAATAATAGGGTTTTTCCCCTTTTTTCTGGCAACAAAACTGAAACCTTTTACAAGGATTCATGTCTGCATTAACCACAATACCTGCAGTCAAAATGCAAACAAAAAACATACTATGATAATATATGCATTGTCCTTGAAACTGATTGGTCCACACCAAGGGACGGCTTTCTTTTGAGCCTCGACCCAATTGGTGCTCGACCAGATGACGCCAAAAGGCGTATAGCCTTTTGGGTCGAGGCTCAAAAGAAAGCCATCCCTTGGGGTGGACCAATCCGTTTCAAGGACGATGCATATATTATCATAGTATGTTTTTTGTTTGCATTTTGACTGCAGGTATTGTGGTTAATGCAGACATGAATCCTTGTAAAAGGTTTCAGTTTTGTTGCCAGAAAACAGGGGAAAAACCCTTATTATTACATTTTGGTACTGGCAAAGGAGGTCTAATGATATCTGTGCTTCATTTACACACCTACATATATACACAAAAAGCAAACAATAACATCCCGTTTAACGTACATAGACTGTTGGGAAAGTCCTGTTGGCAAGCGCCTATTAAGACTGGCAAGGAAAACAGGAGGATGATGTGACCGGCACCACACCAGGCCGCCTTTGTCTCCTGATATTTAAACACCGCACAAGGTAAGGTTGGGCCAACGTGCGGTCGGCTCAGGATTAGTTCAGATATCACTCGTCACTGATATTCGCCACGGTCATGAATTTAGTTCAGGTCACCAGATTCATAGCACAATGCACTAACCCATATAGCCTGAACAAACTATTGGGGGCAAGTGCTGTTCGCGAGCACCTATGAAGGCTGGCATGGCACACGAGGGATGGGTAGCTAGCAACTTGCCCGGCCGCCTTTGTCTCCCCAGTGGCGATGTTTACACACCGCACCAGGTACTCATTTGAGGCTGAGTCGACCTAGGGGTGGCGCAGGACCGGTTCATATAATCGTCACTGGTGTTGGCCGTGACCAGGAATTGAACTCAGGTGGCCGGCTTCATAGCGCTGTGCACGAGCCGCTACACTACCACTCCACATACAAACACATGCACACGTATAATTACATATGAACATATGAAGCCACTGCAGATGAAGGCATCAAGTCATCATTCGTCCCAATCTTAAAATGCGACAATCCATCTAGCTCCTACACAGGAGACAGCCTATTGCTTAATCTCATCAGTGGGCATATACACAAATCCTGTATGTACATGGTACAATATACATACAGTATCCTAATAGGCACTATAACTCAATCATTTAATATGCAAGTTAGCACGTTTACCTCAAACCTAGACACTTCTCTCCCCATATTTGACTGCACGAATGGCACTTTATGTTTAACTGTAATGTAGGTTCATTAATTTGAATGGAAGTTAATTAACTTGGAATGAAAATATCTAAACGACCCCACAACGTCCACAACTGAAGCAGGCAATACCAAAGCAGGTGCTTGATGCAGTTGGACTCACATCATCAGTGTCATGCAGCATATGCTTGGCCTCGAGCAATCCTGGGGCACTAGGCACGGTGACGGGAAGGGGCGAGCGTGACCACCCCACAGGGCCCACGGAAGCTGTCCGCACAGGCGCGCCTTGTCCTGCTGTGCCTGTAGAGAATGTACCAATAAACCGTGCTCATTACTGTGCACACACACACACACACAAGTAAAATAAATTACATTCACTTGTAAACAGAGAAACACAAGCAGTTTTTTTTCAAAATGGGTGTTTAAACAACATGTATAAAAGAGCTACAGCTGAAGTTGTACAATTTGGGTAGCAAAAGATGAATGCCTCATCACTTAATGTGAAATGTTTTTTTTCTTTGTGTTAAAAGCTGTGGAAGATGGAGAGAAGTATAAAAGTTTAAGTGTAAATTTGGTCCTTAAGTCTGACGGAATTGCTCCGAATGTTTCATTCTTTTAAAATCAGCTACTGAAAACATGATAACAGTGAAAAGATGCAAAAAGTACTTGTACATATCCACATGAACCATTCTCACACAGCAGCATACCACTCTGTGGTAGCAGTGGAGCAGTAGAACTGTCCAGAGGGCTGGTTGGGGTACTCAGCGTGGCAAAACTGGAGAAAGTCTGCGATGGCCGCATTTGCCCCACTGACATTGAGCGACAGATCTCCTCCTCATGGGTTGCATCCCTCTCCACAGCACTTGACCCAATGGGAGCCTCTTCCACACTTGGCGTGGTGTGTACTGTGTCTGAGAAAAGACAAACCATGTCATTACAAACTGTTGATTCATCATGCTCCTGTACATCATTTCAAAAGCAATACATGGAAATTATGGTGGTCACTCTCGAGTT